TGACAAAGATCTCAAAGAGTCATTCATGAAATTAGCAGTTAGATATATAATAAAAATATTAATCAAATTAAAAGTCTCAACGATAATATTCTTTGTTTGATATAAGTATATTAAAGATGAATTTTAACATTTGATTCATTTTGTATTAAAGATTCTCTTTATATAACACCATATTAGAATTATATTCCAATCTCAAAATAGTGTCTCGATTAATATATATACTTCACTTTATACAAATTATATTAATTATTATAAAATATAACTATCACTTTAATTATGATTCTATATGTTAAAAGAATGTAATTATCCAATTCTTGTTACCATTATACTTTAATATTTCAATTCCTTAAAATTATTCTAATAGTAAATAAGAAAATTGTTAATTGAATAGATTATTTTTAGAACTTTTAAAACTTTGAATTAAACTTATGTAGATATGTTAAACTCATTATTAACGTTTATGTTGATTTAAAATTTTTAATCTTTAAATATTATTTGATTATAAAAATAAGTATCTCCTATTTAATCTTGAATATTAAATTCATTAATTGAGTTTTACTCTAAAAAACTTATAATCAAATCAATTATATCTTTAAAACCTTCAAGTAATTGTTCTTAAATATGAAACTATTAAAATATCTCATTTATTTAAAATGTTTTATGATACTCATACCTATATTCTTTTGAATTTAATACTCCTCATAAATCATAATAATTAAGTAAGTTGAATATGAAAAATGAATTTTAAAAATTATATACTTAAAAATTAAAATATATTTAAAATTAAATTCAAAATGCATATTGATGAATTACCGGTTGGATAATAAAAGCAAAATTTCATGGTCGAAGAGTTTCCTCCTGGTATTTGAAATTTAATAAATTAGATTTCGATCCTTAATAATTTGATAAAGTTGATTTACCATTAAAATAAAGAATAAAATCAAAGGTTTGGAAAGTAAGACTTCAAGGTTATGAGGAATTAGCAAATGAATAAGAAATAGAGTATGATTGCATTTTATAAATAATACAAGACATACATGTTTAATGTCAAGAAAAAGCACTCTAAATTGCACTAAAATACTTTGAATAACATCATTAATTTGAGTCTTCATAATAAAAGGAAATAATAAAAGTGTTGATAGAGAAAGTACTAATATAATAAAAACTAAAATAAAATGGATATTAATTAGCCATAATACTCTTTCCATATTGTAAATAAGCAATTTTTGAAATTATCATTGGAGAATTATCTCATAAAAATCCTAAGATAGTTTAAGCAACTATCACTTTAATATTGGAGTTACTTCAATAATATGGTGTCAGAAAATTAGATAATTTAAAACCTTTTTTCCCCATTTTATCAAAATTAACAGAGGCATAGCAAACTACAATAAAAGCTGATGCAATATCTTTTTATAAGGAAGCAACAAAATGGTTTGGTAAAAATATTGAAGCATTTTTTGGTGGATTAAATGAAAAACTTTAATAAGATCTAAAGAAAATTGCAGAAACTATAACAGAAGTATAAAAAGCTCCAAATCAAGATGGAGATTTTGAAACAGGAAATCAATAATTGTATGATTTAGCAGAGGCAGTTGAAGTATTTCCTAAATTTACAGATTCTTGGTGTGAAAAGGTCTTCTAACTTGAAAAATGGTAAGAAAAAAAAGAACAATTAGAAAATTTATAAAAAGCATGTTCAGTTGCAAAAATGGTACCATCTCCAAATGTTTATTCAATTGTATAATTGCTAAAGAAATTAATAAATGAATAAAACATAGCAATATGTACAATGAGTATTAAAATTGCTGGACTTCTAGCTAATGGATTAAGAAAAAATTTCTATTAATATGTTAAAATATTAATATAACCATTATTTGCAAGATTAAAGGATAAAAAATAAAATATAGTTGATGATACAATAACATCATTAAAGAAGTTCTTCTACTGTTGTACTCTTGATGAACTTTTTGAAGAAGTTAAAACATTATTAGATGATAAATCATCTAGTCCTAAAATTAATGTTTTTATACTTGTTGAGCATTTTTTAGATGAATGTTAAAAAGAAAAACTACTTAAACTTCAATGCATAAAATAATTGGTTCCAATTTGTAAGAAATTAACTGATGATGGAAATGCAGAAGTAAGAATCAAAGCCATAATGTTGTTAGCTAAAATATCTGTTTAATTATATAATGGTTCAATGGCTGTAGATCTAAAAGGTGATAAATTAACAAAATATCAAGCATAAGTTAATATTTATCTTGAAGGATTAAAAGCCTTATAAGGCAATAGTACAGCTATCTTAATTCCATAGAAATCTAACTTGCAGTCAAATAAGGAAAACATTTAGAATTAAGCAATAACTAATCCTAAACCAGAAATTATTACAAATAAGCAATAGTCAATAGTTTAAACCTAAGTTAACCAAGAAAATCAAGAAATTAAATATTAATCTAATATGACTCCTAATTAAGTTGATGCATTTCTCAAATAATATAAAACTAAAAATAAGGATTAAAGTGATCTTGGCAATATTTTGCTAACCATCAGTTAATAATCTAAGTATATATTAACTTTCACTATGGACTATATAGTAGATAAAATAGGAGACTAAAAATAACTCTGTCATTTATTATTTGAAAAATGTTCTTAAACATATAAGCCTAATCATATGTCTCAATTAATTCTAAGCTTTAAAAATACTGCTACTTAAGCATAATTAGTTGAAATTTTAACTTTATTATTAAAATACATTCCTTTAAGTGATAAAAATATTGATTAACAATTAATTTCTGATTTTTTAAAAGGATTTTAAAATTAATCGAATTAGAAGGCAAAACAACTAGTAATTGATTGCTAAAATGCATTAAAACAATTATTTGAAATAAAAAAAGTTTATTCAGAATAAAAACCTATTCCATTTTCATTAACTTAATTTAGTGATCAATAAATAGAAAAATTAAAAGAATAATTAAAAGTACCTTAAATACCTTAACATTTATATGAAAAACTGTTTAGTTATAATCCTTAATCGAATTTAGCTGGTGCATCTTATATTAGATAAAAAATAGCATAACCAGGAGAATTTACAGAAATCTTTTTTAAATGGGGCTATTTAATTTCCTGGTTTAAGGAAAGTATATCTTTGCAAACAGAAATTATTATGTTATTTTAATTCCTGACTTCTTAACATAAACTTACTTAATTAGAATAATAAATTATATTGTCTTATATTAAAATGATGATATTGTTATATATAAGAAATGGAATGCCAAGATTAGCATAAAGAACATTACCATTACTTATGAATTTATTAGCTGATTGTAATTAATAAAATGTATAAATAAATCAATTAGGTAAATTTGATGAATGTGATGACATTTCTAATACTTAGGCTAATTAAATAATTTAATAAATGTAAGACAGTATCTTAGAATGGAATAATAATTCTTAATAATAATAAAAATAAATATTAGTTACTTTAATGTCATTAATTAATAATGAGGATATTTAAAAAGAAAAAAATTAAGAGTAGAAGAAACACTCTATGAGAGTAGAAGGTATCATAACTTCAAGTATTGATTTAAAAAACAAATAGGAATAGATTTAAAGTTCTCAAAAACTTGTTCAAGAGTAAGTATCTGATAAAATAATTACTTTACAAAATCATTCATAAAAAAAATTGTTATAATAAAAAGATTTTAATCTACCATTAAATCAAAATATTAATAGTGGGAATAAAAATATTAGTTCTAGTTGTATCTAAATTCTAAATGTGAAAGAAAAAGAATATGATGTGATCATGAGAAGTTTTCAATAAATGTATTGCAAATTTAGAGAAACAAATTGTATTGAAAATTCTTAAAGTTTTGCTGAATAAATCATTTATCTTTTAAGTAATCTTTAAAATGATGAATGCTATGATCTAATGAATTAATTCTTAGAGAAATTGATACATATCTTATCATCAAGTCAATTCTATAAAAGCATATCATATAATTAATTTTATATTATATTTGATTCATTGATTTTTAAGATGGTTGAATAATCAACAAAAAACAATGTCAAAGATGGAACATAAAAATGTTGTTATAATTTAATTAATTCTAATTTAATTAAAATCTTAAATAATCAAGATTTATATAATTTATATTTAGCCTTTTTGGATATTTTAATAAATGTGAAAGAAACTGATCGATAAACTAAATAATTTTATGCATTAGTCACTAAATGCTTAAGTAAATCTGCAGATCAATTAAAAGGATAATTTTAATGGTCCTAAGTTTAAGCCATCTTAGAAAAAATTAATTAATATTTAATTAAAAGCTAAAAACCTTAACTGGAATACACATAATATCATAATTGCTTATTGAATGCTTTAAAAACAACAGTTATATTTTTCTTTAATTACAATGATGGTATCAAAGTGTATTAATATATTATGTAAAATACAAATGAAAAATCCATTTTAAGATAATGGATATTAGATGTACAAGAAAAAAATAATACTAATCTTATAGTTGATTTAGCTAAATATAGAAGATCAAGAGATACACATTTTAATTAATTAGTTGAATTGCTTAAAATAGATTTTGATAAAACTGTTGAGTAATTTGTATCCATAGTGAGAAGATAAAATATTAATTGGAAACCTTTAGTTGAATTTTTAAATCCAGATCAAATAACATTCATAGAATAAAGATTAGAATCTACATCACATATGAATTTATTAGAGAAAAAAGTTGTTGAATTAGAAAAGATGATAAACTAATGAAAATATATATATTAAAGCTTTTTAAATTTATTATACAAAATAAGTATTTTTTTATTAGGAATAATATAAAATTAACATATAAGTAAATAATATAAAGATATACATTCAGATATACTGTTTATAAACTCATAAAAATTTACTATAATAATAATAGAATTTCTTTTTATAATGGGATATTATTTTTAAAAATATTATTACTAAATTTAATTTTTATTTCATTATTTCAACTTTTTTGAGGATATTATATCAATATATTGTTAATTGCTTATATTAACTCTTGTTCATTATTAAACTGCTTTTAAATATTCAATTTATTTTTTTTATTGATAAGACAATAATAAAATTTGAGAAATCCTAACGAATAAGCATTTTTATCTTAAAATTTATAACATTCCATCAATTTCTCTGTGTAAATATTAATTTAACTTTGATCACATTTTTATACTGAATCAAAAGCCTATTTGAATAATCGTATTGTTTATTTGCTATAGAAAAAGTAATTTTCAGATCTAAGATATATTTATTTTATTACAATTAAGTTTACAAATATAAGGTTGTATCTTACAGTTCATCTATTTGAATTTACTGGTTATTTTATTGATTTTAACCTTATGTTTATGATTTTAAAGGTTGAAATTATGATTATATTAATTAAGGTGTAAATGATGCTTATCCTACTTAAGGTTAAAATTAAATTTATGCAGGTTAAAAATTGATTTATTAATTTTACTTATTATCTATAGGTGGTGAATTTAAAGTGCCCATTCGAGGAGCTGGATTTTTAAATTGGGTTTAAGGAGGATTTGGATTTGTGGCTCTCAAATTTTGGTTTTGAATTGGAAATCCATTTTGATTTGGAAATCCATTTTGATTTTAAACTGGAATTTAATTTGGAAATCCATTTTGATTTTAAAATGGAATTTAATTTGAAAATGTATTTTGATTTTAAACTGGAATTTAATTTGGAAATCCATTTTGATTTTAAAATGGAATTTAATTTGAAAATGTATTTTGATTTTAATTTTAATTTTGAAATGGGTTTGGAATTGTTGCTCTTTTATCGAATTTTATTGGCTATAAAGTTTAGATACTAATTAGTTTGTGTGAATAAATTTCAGAAAATTTAATTCTGTCTTTAGGATTGTAGACAATCATTTTTTCAATCAACGTTAAAAGATCAGAGTTGATGTCTTTAATTGGTTCTTTTATTTTGAATGGAGTGTGTTTTAGATTCTAAAAAAATATTTTGACTTGATCCGGGTACTATGTTTAAAAGGGAGGTTCACCGAAAAGAAATTAATAAAGCATAATTCCAATCTAAAATTAACAAACTTGATACCGAATAAACATCAACTTGGCTTTTTCCATTTTAAATCAGCTTTAAATCCTTTATCGCTTGATCTAAACTGGTGTCATTTAAAAGACAATTAAGTTCTGGAGCTGCATAAACTGGTGTTCCTACTTTTGTAATAGTGGTGTCATTAGATGAATTAATCTTACCTACTCCAAAATCGCCCAATTTATAAATAGGTTTACCTGAATTATCATAAGATATTAAGATGTTTTCAGGTTTAATGTCTCTATGAAGTATTGATTTTTCATATAAGGGTTTATATCCGTTTAACAATTATTTTAATATATTTAAGACTTCATCAGAAGTGTATTTTTATTTTTAAGATAAGTCATCTTTTAAATTAGAACTACATTTTTCCATAATTATTATCAAAACATCATTATTTTCAAATTTTTGATACTAACAATAGTATACTTTAATCAAATTTGGATTATCAGGACAAGCCTCACGTAAAGTATTTATAATATGGCTTTCTCTGTTCAAATATTCAGAATTACTGGTCATCGATTTAATAATCTTCATTTAAAAGTTTTAAATACTTTAGCACATAAATTATCATTCCGATTTTTTTTTGTACATTCAAAAACTATACCATAAGCTCCCCTACCTATTTATTTTTATTCATAAATGGTATATTCTCCGTTGGTGTATGTATTTCCTTCTCTTTAAAACATTAATAATTTTTTTAATAGAAATAAGAAATATTAATAAGAATATGCATTAATAATTATTCAAATTCTATCAGATCGATCACTAATTAATTATAGCCAACCATAAATAAATTATTCTTTTTTATATAATATTTGTTAAGGCTTCTTTATATATGTATTATTGCTTTTTTATATTTTATGTTAAAATAAATTATGCATATTTTTTATTGTAAATAAATCTACATCTTTTCTATTGATTTGGCCCTATCCATTATTTTAATTATTTTATCTCATATATTTCATATCTTATATAGTTACTTTTATAACTTATAAAGATAATCTGATTTCTAATTCAGATATTGGTGATATTCTAGGTTTTAACTTTTTTTTAGGTTTGATCTAATCATAATTTGGATGTTTTTTTTCTGAGAATTAATGTTATTCATAGTCATATTGATATGAATATGATTTATTTCTTTTATATTAATTTATAATAGACTATAAATGAAGATTTTTCTTGCCAAAATATTTGTTTAAATTGTTAAAAATTTAATTTAAAGGATTTTTATCATATAATTTCTATTATTAAATTGCTTATTTGTTTCTTTGATAGTGATAACGGCTTGTCAAACTGATTAATTAGTTTATTTTTAAAATGTTAATTTCAATTATTTAAAAAGTAATATATGAAAAAATAATATTTATTTATAATGAGAATAATTAATCATAAGAAAACAATGGTGAAATAATTGTACTATATCTATATAACTAGAGTGTTTGAATAAAAGTCAATTAGGGAGTATAGCTCAGTAGCAGAGCAGCAGACTGCAGATCTGTAGGTCTCAGGTGCGAACCCTGATGCTCCCTTCTTTTTTTATTTTAATTAAAATATTTCTTAATTAATAATTTATATTAATTTAAATTAAAAAATTTAGCAAATTAATTAATGTACTAATTTTTATATAGAATATCACAGTTAAAAGTGATCCTATACTTTGATGCTTTCATCTGTAATTTTATCTTCTTCTTGTAAGATTTCCTTTAATGCATCATTGTGTATTGATAATACTGCTCTACCAGACTCATCTGTATTTTTCTTGAATGCCTCATCCCATTCTAAAGCCTAAAGGATATATTTTTTATATAAATACTTTTTCAGTAGAACAAGCTATAGACTTAGCATAAGGTACTGATAAGGCAGCACTATCACTTGGAAAGGCATTAGAATAAACTTATCTAAACCAATATTATTCCTTATCCCTAGGGGTTGACAAAGGATAAGTAGTTGAGGCTTAAGAGAATTCCTAATCAGAGATTAATTGATTGGCTCTTTCTATAATTCCATCTCTCCAACTGTAACCTACTCCATCACTGAATTGCTCCTTTTATCTCCATAATATTTCTTATGGAACAAATGGATTTTCTAAATCTTCAAAAGCTTTTCTTAATATGTATTTTTCAATTTATGGTTAGAAAGCATTAATCATTTTATATTTTGGATCAATAGACATAACATATTCTATCCATGACTTATTCATAAAAGGTGGTCTAGTTTCAATACCCCATGCTAAACAAGCTTTATTAGCTCTTAATAGATCGTATTTATGTAAATCATTTAATTTTCTAATTAATTCTTGATGAAATTCAACTCTATTTGGAGCTTTGTGGAAATACAAATAACCTCCAAATAATTCATCACTTCCTTCTCCAGTTAAACATATTTTAATTCCCAAAGCTTTAATTCTTCTACACATCATATACATAGGTGTTGATGCTCTAATTGTAGTATTATTAAAAGTCTCTGTATGATATATTACTTCTGGAATATAATCTAAACCTTCTTCAACTGTATATGTAAATGAATGATGTTCAAATCCATGATATTCAGCTACTTTTCTAGCAAAATGTAAGTCTGGTGATCCTTCTAAACCAATACAAAATGAATGAACTTTTCTCATTCCTCTTTTGCTTAAATCAATTTCTCCATTTTTTATTAATTTTGCAACAATACCAGCAACAATAGATGAATCAACACTAAAATTATGATATAAGATATAATTACCCTCCAGAAATAAACAAACCAAATGGTGCATCTCCTTTAACTTCTCTTCTTACAACATCAATAAATTTATCTCTCATTTCTTAAAAATTGATTTCTCCAGTTGGAATGTGATCAAAATTATGCCAAAGTGGATTATACCATTTCTTTATTTCATGAGTTTAATCTATATAATGACCTTTTGTTTAATAATTATAAATTCTAACCTGGAGGGAATTATTTTATTTCAACAACTTAATCATGAATACCCTTTAATTCTGATGATAAAAACAAGGCACCATCTTTATTATATCCATAATATAAAGGAATAATTCCAATATGATCTCTTCCTGCATAATAAGTCTTATTATTCATATCCAAAAGAATTGTAGCATGCATACCATCCATATGATTCCAAAAATCATTTGGACCATACTTTTATTATAACCATATCTTTTACTTCTTTATATAGCATTCCTACTATTTCTGAATCAGAATTGCTGCTAAATTTATATTTTTTTTCAAAATCTGGTTTGATTGACCAATAATTGTAAAGCTCTCCATTTTGCATATAATAGATATTTTAATCATCAACTAACTAAAAGGGTTGTCTTCCTCTATCACTTAAATCTACAATGTTCAATCTTTCATGAGCTAGTATATGATAAGTATTTGGGCCTGCTTCCTTAATGAAATAACAATCAAATTTTACTATTATTATGATACGAGATCTATCAGGACCCCTATGTCTTTATCTCTTTGATAAATTGTAGGCAAGAGTTCGTACTTCAATATAAGTCCCTTTAATGTTGAAAATCGCCAAAATTCCACACATATTTAAATTGGAATAACATAAACGTGTAAATAATTGTTATAAACCTGTAAATGCGTAACAATTAATATGAAATATAATTATTAGTATTCAATGTGGCCAATAAAGTTAATTAAGTATTATATTATTTAACTAATATATCATATTTATTCACATTCAATAAATATTCTTGAATTCATTATAATATTAAAACTTATGTTAATCACCTTCCTATTTATATATTTCTATATCTAATTTCAAACTTTTATAAAAGAATAATATATGTTATAAGTTAAATCTTTTTTAATTTTCTTACATTTTCTCTAATCTTATTTGTATAAATCTTCTAAATTTGAATAGTTTAATATTTAAACTCTAAATAATACATCTAAAATATGTCTAACACACTATAAAATATNAGAAATAAACAAACCAAATGGTGCATCTCCTTTAACTTCTCTTCTTACAACATCAATAAATTTATCTCTCATTTCTTAAAAATTGATTTCTCCAGTTGGAATGTGATCAAAATTATGCCAAAGTGGATTATACCATTTCTTTATTTCATGAGTTTAATCTATATAATGACCTTTTGTTTAATAATTATAAATTCTAACCTGGAGGGAATTATTTTATTTCAACAACTTAATCATGAATACCCTTTAATTCTGATGATAAAAACAAGGCACCATCTTTATTATATCCATAATATAAAGGAATAATTCCAATATGATCTCTTCCTGCATAATAAGTCTTATTATTCATATCCAAAAGAATTGTAGCATGCATACCATCCATATGATTCCAAAAATCATTTGGACCATACTTTTATTATAACCATATCTTTTACTTCTTTATATAGCATTCCTACTATTTCTGAATCAGAATTGCTGCTAAATTTATATTTTTTTTCAAAATCTGGTTTGATTGACCAATAATTGTAAAGCTCTCCATTTTGCATATAATAGATATTTTAATCATCAACTAACTAAAAGGGTTGTCTTCCTCTATCACTTAAATCTACAATGTTCAATCTTTCATGAGCTAGTATATGATAAGTATTTGGGCCTGCTTCCTTAATGAAATAACAATCAAATTTTACTATTATTATGATACGAGATCTATCAGGACCCCTATGTCTTTATCTCTTTGATAAATTGTAGGCAAGAGTTCGTACTTCAATATAAGTCCCTTTAATGTTGAAAATCGCCAAAATTCCACACATATTTAAATTGGAATAACATAAACGTGTAAATAATTGTTATAAACCTGTAAATGCGTAACAATTAATATGAAATATAATTATTAGTATTCAATGTGGCCAATAAAGTTAATTAAGTATTATATTATTTAACTAATATATCATATTTATTCACATTCAATAAATATTCTTGAATTCATTATAATATTAAAACTTATGTTAATCACCTTCCTATTTATATATTTCTATATCTAATTTCAAACTTTTATAAAAGAATAATATATGTTATAAGTTAAATCTTTTTTAATTTTCTTACATTTTCTCTAATCTTATTTGTATAAATCTTCTAAATTTGAATAGTTTAATATTTAAACTCTAAATAATACATCTAAAATATGTCTAACACACTATAAAATATAATAAATAATAAAAAAATAAAAGAAAAGCAAAGCATTAACTATATTATCAACAGTTTATAAATTCATAATATTTTAAATACATCATAATACGTTTTAAAGTGATCTTTTTATTATAATTATTATTAATATAAATATTATTCAAAATACTAATTATTATAAAATTATCACTAAAACTAATAAATGATATCATTATGTTATAAAAGTTCAAAAAAATACACTTATTAGTTATAATTTATTAAATTACCATTTATTGAAATTAATTTAATTGTTTATATCTTCTTAATGCATATTCGATTTATATAATAAAATAATTTAATTGAAAATAAATTTTTTATTCTTAAAGTCATATGTATTTATAGAAAGAACTTTAAACAAACCCAAAGATAAATGTAATTTCAAATGGATAGTAATTAAATCTTTTATTGGAATTATCTTTTCTTTAATATGTACATATTTAAAAATCATATACTAAAATTTAAGCATCACCAAATTCTACTAATCTAATCTTCTAAAATTACTCTGATAAATATTTTTAGATTAATTTTTCTTCCCTTCCACATTCTTTCTTTACTAGAATTCCTTAATTAAATTTGTGATTAAAATTTATTAAAACATTTATTATTATTTTTTAGATCCTAAATATTTTAGAATTCATAAATAAAAATGCAAAAACAAACAATTTTTATTTTTTCAAATGAAATTTCATCAAGTTTTCAGTCTAAATTGGAATATTATAGATAATATTAAAGATTTTATATTAGGGTTTTAACTTTCTTCTAATCTCTTTGTCTAATACTTAAATTCAATGAATTATTATTTAACATCTCTTATATGTATTATTAATAATTTTAACATTCTTTAAGAAAAACATTGAATTAAAAATGAGTGATAATTTATGGAAAATTATCAATCAATCAAATTTATTTTAATACCTTATATATAAGAATTTATAAAATGAAAATTATATTATTTTAATTAATCTAAAATTAAAAAATTTACTTATAAATTTTAATGATAAGTTTGAAATACTTATAATTATTTTATATTATACAATTAAGAATATTAATCAATCAATTAGAATAGCATTTATTTCATTTTCACCTTAAGTTTAAATTTTATTTGAAAACATAATTTCATTATCATTGTCGATTTAAAGGATGCATCTTTCAAAATGAGTATACCCTTATGAAATTAGATCACTATAACTGTTAATTTAATTATTTTAAATTATTGCATATAAAGGATCCTTAGAATCTAAAGTACCCTTAATACTTTAAAATATTTCTTTACATTTTAATCAACAGTTATATATTCAACTTTGATATTTAACTATTAAATTTTCTTAATAATTTCCCATTAATAATGATCAATTCTCAAAGTAATAGAATTTTTCTTACAAATTGGACAAATCCATTTCATATGTTCTGCATGAATCATCATATCTAAATAGTTATTTAAACTAAAACACTATTGATGTTAACAAAATTCTCCTCTAATTTATTATTTAGTTTGTACCTTGCAGGTATTTTAATTAAATCAAAAGAATATTAGCAAACAAGACTAACTTTAGATTTATCTACTTTGATTTCGTTTTTAGAAACATCAGTTTTAATTTGAGATAAAATACTTTGATTAACAATAGAGTGAATTATTTATTCCAATTTTTAATTTTAAACCAAAAACAACCCAAAAATATATATTTATTATGGAATCTCTTACCTCATTTTAGAATCTGGAATAATTTCAATACAAGTGAAAATGTATTTTCTTTATATTCCGTAGGTGTTTTATAATGTATCAAGATTAATTGAAATGCATTAATCTTTTCGTTTTTTTAAACATGATTTATCAATAAGAGGTTTGAATTCCTTAATAGCAACTCCATTAATAAGAAGAGTACAACTATTAGGAAACGTAAAATCAGTTAATCCATTTTTATTCATCATAACACATCTAATTTCTAATTATAATCCAGAATTTCGAAATTACTCTTATGTAATTGTGAAATCAAGATGTATTTTACTTTAAGTTTTTTATTAATATTAATATTCTAGATATCCTAAAGTATACATAATCTTTTTAAACGGATTTAATTTCTCCAGTAAACAAGATGAACAAATCTTAACTTCATTCTCAATATTTATTAATTTAATTTTCCCATTAATTTATTTACAATAATTACATTAATTCAAATTGTTTTATATGTGAAGATATTCATTATCATATTAACTGATATTATTAATTCCAATATCATTAACCTCTATTTTAGGTTTTTTCTCCATCAATCTTTCTAAATTTATACCATCCTCAAAACTTCTTTTAATTAATATTAAAGATTCAGAGGAATTATTTGTTTAATTTAACTCTTGATTTTATGATTGAAAATTTTTCATATTCTCTAATAATTATTTTTATTTTATTTAGTGCTTATTCTGATTCCAATATTAATTTTAATATTTGAGAATTTTATTATTCTTTTCTAGATTAATACTTGAATGATCATTTTAGTTGATTTGTTAATTAAAAAAACTCAGATTAGAGGATTCTTTTGGAATTACAATGATCATATCTGAAATGTTTGTTGAATCTATATTCTAAATATCATTTAATGTATTTTTTTATTGCAATATATTGTTATTAGTATTTATTAAAGAATTAATTTAATTGTTTCTTTCTAAATTAAAAAAATTATTATTTGAATTTTATTATTAAGGTTAAGATTAGATTATGGTATATTACTTTTCTAATAACTATTTTTGTTTTTGAATTTCAAATTTAATTTTATCTACTGGAGATGATGATTCTTGATTTGATAAATATAAACTTTAGGGATGATAAATCTTTTAATCAGCTTACATTCCTTAGTTGATATTTTAATCCTTAATATTTTATTTTTGATTGAATATTTTTTATCTAAAATTATTTTATTTTTGTGTAATTTTATTACTTTTAATTTCAATTAGATCATCCATTTAATATTTTCCTTTATATTTTTGTTATTTCTATATTTTTCTTTATTATTCTGATTCAGAATCTGAAATTTCGATAAGTATTTCTCCATCCTCTGGAGAAGAATCAATTATAGCTCTTGATAGTTTTTTTTGAATTTAATTTTATCTATTTTTTCTAGAATACTATTCCATAATTTAATTGTCTATAATAGTTCTATTATTTTCTCTTTCTTCTTTTTTTTAGTCAACATTTAATTACTTTTTATTTCTGATAAAATCATTTGATGTTGATATTGGATGAGATTATACTTAATTTTAAAAGTCTTTTATGTTTTTATTCTTTTTTTTTGGAATTGGCTCTAAGCTATGATCCTTTACTTGTCTTTCTATTAAGGATTCAATTATTTCTTATTCATTAAAAGTAATTTTTTAAGTTTTTTCTTTGCATAAATTTTTAACATGATTACTATCAATAAGAGGATCAAAGCTATACTGAGATAATTTTTGAGCTTAAGGTATCATTTAATGTTGATTTCCTGAACTATGAGTACATAGATTTTCTTCAATCTCTAATAAATCAGATGGATTTGACTACTTCAATTTTACTTTTTTTTTATTCTTAGTTATGTCTAATAAATCTTATTTTTGCTTATTAGACTCTTAATTTGATTTTGTTAAACTCTTAATTTATAAAGATTAATTGTTTTGATTTGAATGATCTTCATTTATTTTATTCGAATTACTTCTTTTTATTGAGGATTATTCTAAAATATTTGAAATTTCATTTTCTGCTTCTAGATATTTAATAAAGAACTAAGCAAACTTTTTTTAAAAATCCTAATCTTTTATATTACTGAAATTTTGTAATTAGAGTTATTGGCATATGTTTATTAATTGCCAATCTTAATACTATGGAATTATTATTTAAATTTTTTACTTGATAAATAGGACAACTTGGATCCTTGAGTAAATCAATCATTACATTTTCTAATAGTTTTTTATGCTCCATAAAATTTTATAATTAATAAAAACTTGTTTAAATTCATACAAAATATAATATGCATTCAATTATATCAATTATCATCTCAAAAATTAGTAAATACGAATTTTTAAGTATTATTTATAATCTTCTAATTTTTAATATTTAACAAGAGAATCCATTCTTCATTTTAATTATATGAATAAATAAGAAAATAGAATTAATGTTATTAAAAACATTAGAATTTTGTTTATATATTCATATTTTAATGATTTTTATATTAAATTTACTATCTACACTAGCTTAAGCATAGCGTGTAGCTATAGTTGGATGTGGAATTGGTGGAGCAACATTGGCTCAATTAATACCAAGTGCTGTTGTATATGAATCATATTATCAATGTGGAGGAAGAATTAATCATGTTTTAATACCTGGTTTGAATGCTCTAGAATTTGGTGCTACATTTTTTATTAAAGAAAATGAATATGTTCTAAAATAAATTGAATAAAGAAATTTAGAATATTACAAAAGAGACTTAGGTAAATTAGCTATCTTAAAAAACAAATAATTAGTCTTGTAAAAGGCTGATTCTGATGTAATTAATATTGTAAAGATGGTTTATAATTATGGGCTATCCCCTAAAAAAATGAAAGATATTACAGATTAAGTCTTAATAAATTTTAAGTCAATATACTCGTTTTTAGAAAGTGGTAAATATTATAAAAATTTTGATGAATTTTTACAAATCATTAAATTGAATGATATTAAAATGAATTTTACAGAATATTTAAATGAGAATGGAATTGATTAAAAATTTTAAGAAGAATTTGTAGATGCAATTTTATTAGCAATTTATAACTAAAAAGGTGTCAATACAATTGCTGGATTAATCTCTATGATTGCTGCTTTTAATGATGCATATTCAATAAAAGGAGGAAATAGATAATTAATAGATGAAGAAAAAATTAATGTAATACATTCTAAAGTTGACATTATACATCGTTTATAGAATGGAAAATATCAAATTTTTAATGATGAGTATGATTATGTAGTTATGGCTTCTTTAGTTAATTTAGACATATCTTTTGATAACATTAGAGAAATGAATAGTTTTTAATATGTAAAATATTAAAGCACATATGTATATGTAGTTGCAGGTAAGATTTCTCAAAAATATCTTGGTGTTAATCCTGAAGATTTAAATACAATCATTATTCTTGATGATACTAATGTAACTGAACTTAAATAAGAATGTGTAAAATGTTTTTAAGGATGGAATGTTTATAAAGTTCAAGGAAGATCAGAATTATAGTTAGACTAAATATTTGAAACACATTAAATAGTTCATAAAAAAGTATGGGATGCAGCATATCCATAATTAAATTAAAATTTATTGAATACAGATTTTGAATATGAAAAGGTATTTATTATTATTTAAAAATAAGAATTTCTTTTATTTAAATTCAATAGAAAGTTTAGCTTCATGTATGGAACTTATGATGATCCAAGCAAAAAATATAGCCAATATTATAAAAGAGAGACACAGTCAATTAATTCATGAAGATTTATGATATATATATATAAATTATAATTTAAAACATAAAATAGTCAAAAAAATTATGTTCTTTAGTTTATCTAAATTCAAAATATTGAACAAGATCTAGAACAACAAGAAAGTGAGGATGGCATTTCTTTTTCTCCTTCTAAAATTGTTTATTTTTAAGAATAAGTAGTAGTTTTTGTGGCTTCACCATATTTTTTAGTTATTTATTTTTTTCCTTAACGTTTTTCCATATTTCCACTTTCCATTTCAATTAAATCATCTTCATCATCATCAATTTATATAAATTATTGATCTTATTTTTTAGTAGTAGAGCTCTGATAAGATTTTGATTTCTCTTCAAAATCCTCTTATTATTATTATTATTATTAAAAATTGTTTTATTATTATTGTTATTCTCCTTATTGAGATTCTATTTAATCTTCGAAAACTTCAACTTATTGATTTAATAAAGGATTTCCATTTTCTTCTAATACTGTAATTTTCATAAAGCTTGGTTTTTTGTTGATTGAACTTCCCATTGAATTAATTGATAAGTGAGAATTTTTCTTTAATAATTTATTTGTTCCAGTATGAGTCTCTCTTTTTAAGATAGGCCTATAATAAATTTAATATTTTACCAAAATAATTCTATATTATTTAAATCACCCCCATATTTAATTTCTAATTATTCTTTTGGAATATACTGTAATATTTATTAATATTCTGTAATAATTTTTATTTTAACTTATAAATCTTTTATTTTGTCTAAAATTTTAATCTATATTATAAATACCAGTGAATTATTTGACAATGTCATCTATATCATCTGGTCCATTAACTATTAAAATTTTATTCAAATTCCCATAAAAATGTAATTACAAATACAATAAATCATCTAATTCTAGAATAGGCAAATCAATATCTAAATCTAAAATGACTGTCCAATTTTCAACATAATAATCAATTAATAATTATCTTTTAACAGTTTCTAAAAAGTAAGCAATTATTTTTATATCGCAATATTATCTAATTACAATAACAGGACGAAATTAATTATCAAAACCGCAAACATATAGATATCCTTTCCTTAATTCATTAACATAATCTTGTTTTGAGTATTCTTATAGAAAATTTAAATGAGATTAGCAATTCTACAGTACTTTTAGTATAAAAAATAACATACAATAATTGCTTTTTCAATATTATATTAAGCAGCCATTAACATTTTTAATAATATGCTTCTTTTTAATTTTATTTGTTAACCATTTTCTTTCATTTTTGTTTTAATCTCTTCAATTAATTATTTCTCATAATCATCATAATCAACATTTTCAAAAATGTTCCTTTAAATAGATGGTCCATTTCCACTTTTTATATAAAATTCTTAAATAGCAATATCTTATACCACTATGTACGATGGATGTAATTCCTTCATAAATCATTAATATTAATATTTTAAATATTATGTATTTTCATTAATTATGAAATTATTTCTTAAGAGATATCATTTTACATTATTGAATTGATTTCAATAAATAATAGATCAATTATTTCATTAATATAATTGGTTATGTTAAACTTTTTGTAAAATACTATAATTTTATCTATAATTATTCAACTTTTAATTAATATTGTAAATAACATATTATCTTTGTATGATTACTCTTAATTAAATATCTACTCAAATCTAAACTACAGTATTAATTAACATCTTTCAAAATTCTAAATAAACAAAAGATGTTAGCCCTGATTGATTAATCAAATAAATTTAAATCTTTTTATTAAAAAATATTTATTATGGGAAAACTTCACGGAACCTTAGCCAAAGCAGGTAAAGTTAGAAAATAAACTCCAAAGATTGAAAAATAAGTCAGAAGACACAAAATCCCAAAAGGAAGAGCCTACAAAAGAATCTGCTTCAATAGAAGGTTTTCACTCTTTATATACTTTAGATTTGGAGGTTAAGCAGCCGCAACAGGACCATAATAAAGGAAAAAGGGACCAAATTGGCATGCAGGAAGAAAGGATTTAATTGAAGAAGAAAGAAAGAAATAAGTCGAATAAAGAAGACAAAGAAAGAAGGATGTACCAAAATGATTAATTACATACAGTAGATTATTTACATACAATAAAACAATTTAAATTAGCAATTCCTTAATGATGTAGCAATCTATTGTCTAATCATCTTTCTATAGTCTTATGTTTACTATATATTAATTTATTTTGCTACCAATCACTAAATATTAATTATTTAAACAATGTGAGAAAATAAGAATAAAATCATCATTTAGAACTATCCTAACTATTCCTCCTCCAACTTCCCAATGTATCTAAATTCAATCCTATATTTATATTTTTTCTTTAAGGTGTAGCTCTTTATGAAAAGATTACCACTTTCTTTGGAATATTATTAAATTATGCATATCTATAATTTTAAGGTGATTAATAATATTGTTGTTCATTTTGAGGTTCATCTCTTTACACTGTGATTGATTTTGCATATCTTCTTGAAACTTTTGAATGAAAATCAAAGTTTATAGATTTTTATTCTGTCTTTAAATGACTAATTTGATATTTTATTTCCTTCAATTTGTTTTACTTATAAAATTGTTATCTATTAGAAGATTAGAATCTTGTTTCATTAAATACAGCTTAAATTTATGTCTCTCCTAGAGACTTTTAAGCCTACTATTTTGCTTTCTTTACTATATAAGAGATTTTCTAATATAAAACCGACGGTTAATTAGATTCTATACTTTTTTTCTGCTTTAGCTAATATAATAGTTGCATTCTACAATAATTTTCGCACATTACTTTATATAATTAATATGCACTTAGATTTCAATAAAATTATTAATCTGTATACATTATAATAAATCAGAAAATTAAAATTTATTTAAATTTCTAACTAGCAATATATCATATAAGTAGTCATATTCTACTACTTGATGATAGTTCTAGACCAATTTTATAATTAACTTACTTTTTTGAAATCATAATAACATTTTTAATTTTTAATTCATATATTTCTCATATATATCAATATTTTTAAAGTAGAAGGTAAAATTCTTTTCAAAATTAAAAACTTTGTTTTGGTTACATAGTTAAATTAATTTATAGTTTTGATTATAAAATTTCATTCATTTATATGATTTATTATCTTAAATGTAAAGTGATACAATATTTAAATCTAATTTATGGAAATAAATTTGAAAACCAGTGTAAGATATTATCAATTAAATTTATAAGATCATTTAATTAATATACTTTTAAATATATATGATAATTTACATATTTATTTTAACTTAAATTCAATTTTATTATTTTATTTTAGTTATTTTATCTGATACATAAACTAATTATTATAAGTTTTATAAATTTCATATTTAAAGTAGAAATATTTCAGAAAAGAGGTTTCATAATTCATGCAATGATATTAGCATAAGGATTTTTTTGAAATATTTGAAATAAAATTATGTAATCTAATGTATTTTAAAGTTCTATAAATCATTAATAATCTTAAGAATTGAATAAATGTTATTAATATAGATATTTAAATTGAATGATAAATTTTGTAAAAGTAATCTTTAAATAAATTTTAATAGTTATTTAACAATGATTGAAATTAGGTGTTTAATATTGATTAAGGAAATATTATAATTAATTTAATACTTTAAATGATAATTATATCTTAATTGTTATAAAATAGTAGTTAGTTAATATTCATAAGATTATCAAAATTAATCTTCTTATTTCATAAGCTCTGAAAGCTCTTTTAATTGTCCAAATATCTGAATATTCGTTTATAAATTTTTGAGGGCTTTTTCTAAACTGTCATTATGGTTTTCAAGAATGACCTTGAGTAATTTATTTGATATTTACATTTTTATTTTTAAAGTATTGAACAGACACTTCCCCTTCTTTATAGACTCTCTTAATTAACTATCTTAAATCATGGATCTAAAATTGAAGAATATAATACTTCATTAATCAATTCTTATTGCTTATTCTCTAAATGATTTACTTATGATTACAGAAGTTGATTGTCATTTCTTAATTTCTAGTTCTCTTATTGTATTGCCTAGGCTTTCTGTTAAATTTATTATGGGAATTGATTTAATGCTTCAAGTAAATATGACGATGATTAAGACTAAAGTATCTCATGAGATTAATTACATTTAGAAGTTAGAGACCAGATTATTAACTGGGTGAAGGGTTACATGATTAAAATGCCAACATATCAACACTAAGATTATATTTTATTAATAATTTGTACACTATGCTTTTATTTATTTATAAAGGGTTTCATAAGCACAATTTTATTCATTAAATAAATTAAATAATACATCTCTACAAATAGTCATCTAAATTTTTAAATAATGATTATGGATTTAAGAATTGAGAATATTGATTTTATCTTTCTAATCAAAATTTTAATTGTTATTTATAAGAAATAAGTTTAATGATTGAGGATAGTAAATATCTATTCATTGTTGAAGTATTATATATTTTGAATAAAACCAAAAATTTTAGATTAAATGTATTAATATATAAAATCATTGAAGTCGGTATTTATTTCAAAAGATTATAGAAATAAATATCCTTTGAATTGAGAATTTATACAATATAAAGTTAATTATAATACTGAGATCAACAAGGATTAGTATTTGTCACTAATAATGTAAATCCTTTTTTAGTGGAAACAAATTTTGTATTCTGATTAGTTCTACTATATTTAAAATTATTGAATGAAGTTTTTCTAGGTACAAATATTGGAAGAACATTTGTCAGACGTTCAACAGATCTTGTGGTCTTAGAATTTGAACCTGATCTAAATATGTATGACCATATTGTTTACCTCATAGAGTTTGGCTCTACTGGATATTAAAACACTGTTGATATGTTTTGATAGTAGGCTGATTAGTAGAGTGTCATTGCTTCATCGTTTATTTCTTCTGAGAATTCCTAAGTAATATTAAATAAAAAATTACAGTTAAGATCTTATTCTACTTTTAAGTGGAGACTATTTACTCTTTTTATTTCTTTTTAGTACTGCAGCAAAACATTAATCAGAGTCTCTTTGAAATATATTAATATTATCAATAAATAATCACTATTTTATTATTAAGAACTACTGTACTTATTTATTGATGACTACAGTTTTGGTTTCAATATTAGCTACTCATAATTTATAAGACAGGAATGCAACTTTAACTTTTATCTATTGAATAGTCAATCAAATGTGTTTTTAAAATATATAAACTATTAAATATATATTAAACTCTTTCCTTAATTATATTTTTTAATTTATGAAATTCCAATCACTTTAATACATAATCCTTTAGTTATTTAAGTAGTAAATCACTAAAAAGCAAAATTTATTGAAATTTAATATTAATAAATTAGCACTTGAAGTTTAGAATTAATTTTGAATTCTCAAATTTCAAATCCACTATTTTATTACTAATTTATTTAATTATTCATTTATTATTTTTGATAAAATCAATTTTATTTTGAAGTTAAATGAATGAGAATGAAATTTAATTTTTAATATAAATAATAATAAATCTTCAAGTCATATGAAAAACAATATCAACATATATATAAATATTTCTATATTCAATTATAAAGTAAATAGACTTTTAATTATATTGTATAAATAAGAATTAATCAACATTATTGTCTTTCAATAAATTAATAATTTATTTAAGACCATAGATTATGATGTATAAAACATATAGCAGTACCTCCTCTTTTATTTTGACTAACTTATCTATTAATATCAGACATACAGACATATGGGATATTTGAATTTAATGAAATACCAAATTTTGAATGATCTTTTGTGTATGAAAATTTATATCCCTGATTATATTATCAAAATTTTACATTTTATAATCTAGATAAATTGCTGAATGTTTAATATGATGAAGTACAATCAGGAGGCTATAAACCTCCACTTCCCCAGGTTTAAACTACTAGTCCAACTTTCAATTTAGGTGATACTATAGATGCATAAAAATCCACTTAATTATGTTAGTTAGTTGAAATCACTTATAAGGATAAACCTTATCGAGTTTAAACTGTTAGTGAACCACTACTTTATTATGATTTTCTAGTAGTATCTTTTAAACTATATAAATTTGGGTATTTTGTTTTGAAATCAGATGGTGAATTTGCCCTAACTGTGATCACCTCAGCTATTATTAATTATTAAGCTATTCTTTCTATTTCAGAAGTAGTTACACTGAAACACATAAAATGTTGAGCATTAGTATAAGAATTAGATGGCATCCCTAATATTATTTCACTAGATATGGGATTAATTTTTACTCATAATTAGAATCCATTATTGGAAATTTAGGAGTTGAATGATTGATTATAAAGCCTTGGCCATTCAAAGAAGCACTCAAGACTCCTTTAGAATGAGCCATATCAGGATAATAATCCTTATCAAATGGTTAATCATTCCAAATAACATTCATTGTATTTGTATCCTTAAAGTGAACCTATTCCATGGTTACTTAGAGTGCAGAAGTGAAATCATTTAATTTGTCATATTAATACTTAAGTTCTGCGCATTAAGTTGTAGAATCACAATAATAATACTCCATTCCTATATATTAATTGACTGTGTCTTTAGGTAATTTAAAGATCAACCAATAGTCTACGATTTATCCGTATTGATTCAAACAATTGCTGGCTGTAGCACTAGTAAGGAACAAAAATACGAGCATGTTATTATTTATAATATCTTTTTTTTGCTAACTTTTATGAATTTAATATAATGATGTCATTAAGCGTAATATATTTAATAAATACTTAGTAATATTAAATAAAATATTTTATCCATCTAATAATATGATTCATTCACTATTCTGATTAAGATAATAATATTTTTATTATTAACCAAAAATAAGGAACTCCTCCAATAAATACAATTAAATAATGAAATATAATTCATATTGAAAACTTGCATGAATTATTTTTATATTATTGATTCATTAAAGTAGTTAGAATGAAATAAGGTAAACTTAAAAGCTAAATAAGAGTAATTAACCTAAATATTTTACAGTAAAATACCTAATTCTCCAGCATATACAATGGGTTCAAGAAAAAAAGAGATGCCAATAATAAACACTCCAGGTCCTGGAAAATATCATCCCATTCTACCTTTTAGATAAAGTCCAAGAGCAGTGATATCAGGTTCAAAAGACTCCTTCTATAAAATAATTGATTCTCCAGGACCTGGAAGATATAACCAATTATCATATACAACTCATGGATTTAAGTTTCCTTAAGAAAAGCGATTATTAACAAATCTCAATTAATCTCCAGGTTTAGCCAAATGCAATCAAACTAATAAATTTTTTGCCCTTAATTATTACATTCCAAAAGAAGAAAGAAAATAAAAAATAAATTTTTTAGCAACTGGACCTGGATTTTACAACATTCCTTCATTAATAAGAGCAGATATTGGTTTCAAAATACCTAAAAGTTAAAGAAAAAATAAAATTGAAATTTTTCCTGGTCCTGGTGAGTATAGTTTTTTGGAAACCAAAACAAAAAGTATCAAAATTGGAACTAGTCAAAGAATTGAAAAATCAATGTTATTTGGACCTGGACCAGCAGATTATTCTCCCAGAATTACAACTGATTCTTCTCCAAGAGCTATTTTTGGTACAGAATCAAGGGGAAATAATAAAAAAGAGAAATTTCCTGGTCCAGGAGATTATGAATTACCTTAAAGTAGAAGTTTGAGTGTAAGAATTATAAATAAATAAGTTTTCATTTCCTAAATAAAATTTGCAATAAAAATCCAAACCTTCTACTCCTATCAGTTATATAAATGATTACACTAGTTTAAGAAAGACTTCTATATCTTTTGGAAAGGCATAGAAAGGTAATAAAAAATCTGAAATCATTCCTGTAAAATTAATCAAGTATTTTAGGGTCCTGGATAATATGATATAGAAGGGTTCTTTAGAAAGAGAATTAAGTCAAGGGATGGATTAAATTTGTGATTTTTACTACCTTAAACTAAGTTTGTTATATATTCCAAAGATTATTTCTCGTATAATTTATTGAGGAGAATGTAAAATTAAATATTTATAATGTACATATATCTCACTACGATTCCATCAGTTATACTTAATAATTCTTAATGAATAAATACTTTGTGGAAGCCAATCAATTCATAGTTTTCTCTGAAACATCTTCTGCAAACATTCATACCATATTTTCTGATCAAACCTTGTCTAGCAGCACAAACTCTGCATTCTTTATTTATATTATTTATAGATAACCTCTTGAATCTTTTCCGTAGGTTCTTGGATGAGTTCTGAATAAATGGTTTGGCATTCTTACGATATTTTTTTTTTAATTTTAAATATTTATTAAAATCTTCTGAATGAATACAACTATCTAACTATAGCTTATGTAATAACAATTAAAAATAATCACTCTTTTTCAGAGAAAGTCTAATAATATATATAATTATCAATTAGAAACCAATTAAGATATTCAAAAATTCATTTACTTTCAGGTATAAACTTATATTTCTCTATATTCATATATTTTAAGTTCAACTATATTTTGAATTGTATAACAATCATAATGAAATTTATACTCAAATTATTTTAGATTATTATATAGACTAATAATATTATTTAAATAGCATGCAATCACTATAAAAATAATAATTTAAAAAAATGGTTACCTATCTTATTTCTCTCAAATACATGTGTAGTTTCTATTAAATTAATTAATTTAAGATTTATCTAAGGCTTAAAATTTAAGATGTATCTATATATAATTTATCTATATTATTTTATAATAGATGTATAAGAAATATAAGATATTGCTTAATTGAAAAAATAAATGTTAGGAACAAATAAGGATATTTAAAATGCTTAGTATTCAAATCATGATATATATATATATATCAATCAAAATCAATTGAAATGTACATAATCAATTTCTAAATTATTTTGTTTACTTAATTGTTTAATCAAATTTTTCTAAAGCTATTTTACTTTTTAATATTGCATCTTCAACTTTATTTTCTAGAATACTCCTATTACTCATTAATGATAATTATGAGAAATAAGATGTATCATATAATTAATGATGACTTTATGGTTTTTCAGCTTTAGATGGTTTTAGATTTGTATTTTTATATTATTACTATACTTATTAATTTAATTTAAGAGGATTTGCTAATAAACTTGTTGGTTTTGGAGCTTGAGAAAATTGATGTCTTGTTGATAAAGATATTTTGGATGTATTTTTTGATTCTGGAGAATGGTTAGGAGTACCTATTTATAAATATATATTCTATGTATCTAATTATTATTTATTTTATGAAAAGCTAGGTTTATTTCTATATTTATTAATTGGATGTATATCTGGTTTGAGTGAATTTTAAGATTCAGAAATATTAAATTTATTATCTAAAGATATTTTGCTGGCATCATTTTATTATAATTAGAAGTTAGATTAATTTGAAATCCTTGAGATTTAACAATCTTCATTTTAATTTTTTATAATATTGTTGTCAGATAATAGTGATCTTGAACTATATTATTATTTTATTCTAGATATTTATTATATGCTTTAATCTATTTAATTTAATGGTTTGATTTCTAATAAATTCTCATTACATTCATGATAAGATACTACTTAGAGAAGTTCATTAAATGATCCTCTGTCTTCAGGAAATCTTTTTAGCATTTTTAATAAGATGTTTTTAAATTATTAACTATAATTTAATTCTTCTATTCTTTGTTTCATCTCATATTCACTATACTGAAATTATATTGTTAAATATTACATTGAGAGTATCATAACTAAATAATGAATTAGTATCAGCTAGAGTTGCAGACCATAATGCCGTTAATCCCAACTAAAATATTTCACATTTCTCAAAATCTAAGTTTAATACTTGTTCTTTTAATTTTAAGCATTCTAATTCCTCAGGTGATATGTGAATATCTTCTGTTATCTAATTCAATAATTGCATATATTGACTATTAGAAATATCATAATAAGATTAAAATTTAATGGTCCCTTAATTAGAAAGGAGTATGTTTTTTAAGTCCATTGGATATATTTAAAATGATTTAAAATACATTAATGCTTTTAAACACATAGATAGCAAACCCCATAATTATTTCTCTTCAAAATATTACTATTTGTTAGCTCTATTTTTAATGTTTGATCTTAACTCATTACTTACATATTCTTAAATAAGTTGTAATTTTGTAAAGGATGAACAAATATTCTAAAGTCTTATATAAAATACTTACTTTACATATATCAGCCTTATAGTAATGTACTTTTAAAATGTTAGGATGATCTAGATTTTTAATAGGATTGTTGATCTAAATGAAATTTTTTTCAATTATGCAAATTGTTTCTCCTGTTTCATTCTTTTAATATAACTTAATGTTTCCAAATCTTGGATCTATTATCTAATTTAAATATTAATATTGTTATAAATTAAATCCAGGTGTAGAACTACTTTGCCCCATTTTATAATTTCTATTTATTAATATAATAATTAATTATATGAGTATACGTTCAATAACTCCAAATAAAATGAGTGGAATTACAGAATTAGATGAATATAAAATTACATAATTTAAAAGACCTTAAACATCAATGAAGTTTTCACTTAAAAAAATTCAACAAATTGGTTAATCACTCAACGATATATTATCTAAAAAGAAACCTAAAAATGATAAAAAAATTTTACAATTTTTTCAAGATAGATTCAATTAATATATGTAAGATATAAATACATCAGCATTTTATGAGTCTGTAAATTAAGACAAACAAACAATTTCTAAAAGAAAACAAAATAATACTATTTATCCCCCTAATTATAATTATTTAGGTGGAACTGAAACAGAAAGATCACATATGAATATAAAATATCAAAGAGAATCATATAAGTATTTAAATAACAATCGATAAAATAAAAATAAAATTATTGAATAACATACTAATGATTGTCTTAGAAATTAATCTTTGATGTGGTATAAAGATAATCATAATATGAATCAATGTTCTTTAGATTATAGTAAATCTGAAAACATCACAACTAGAAACAATCGAGTTCGTTAAAATAGTTAATCAACAATCTAAAATTTTGATCATTATATTTTATAATCTATAGCTGTTCATATCCAAAATGATCCTAATTAAACTGATCTTATTATTTGCTGTTAAAATTACAAATTATACACATTAAATTAATACTCTAAAATAGTTACTTGTATAGGATAACATTATAGGCCAATAAAATAAATGACTAAAATTATCATATAATCTAATATTAAAAAATTCTATACTAGTAGTAGTGATGGTTAAATAATCTAATGGATATCTGATTCTATGCATGGTCCTTTTAAATATTTATAATCAATTAGAATAGAAGAACCTCCTATCTAATTACATTTAGATTAATAAGGATCATTATATATTTTGACTGCCAATTTCTTAACTTATCAAAGTTATAAAATACCTTTATATGGAAATGTAAAATGCTTTAGTGTTACTCCTAAACAAATTATAATTGCCATCGATAATTAAATACATTAAATAATTGATGATATAACTAATATTTAAATAATATAACTTGATAAACATATCAAAACCATTTTCTATGAAGATCAATAATTATACATACTAACTACTTAAAAATCATTAATAGTCTTTGATGATATAAAAAATAATCTATTTTTTAATTCAGAAATATAATTAGATGCTGATTGGGTCTATGCTATGCCTAAAAATTAGATTATTATTCTAAAAGACTAGAATGTCATTGTATAGTCCTTTCAAAAAACCCGCAAAATTTAATTTACTGATAAAATTACTTGTTTACTACCCTTATCTTAATAGATATTAATAGGAGATTAAAATAAAACCATTAAAATTATTAAACTTTGAATATATTAATTACTATACTGATATAATTTAATTCAAATATATATATATCAATTAGATCAATATTTTTAAATATTACATAATAGCTATTCTTCCATAGCCTTCTCCCCTTCCTTTATTTGATTTATTCTTTCCTTTATTATATTTCTAATTTTTTAAATAGAATGATACACATTCTCTTAAACTGTAGTTTCAGACTATATAAACCTTATCAATTCTTCATGATCAAAATTCATTCTATTACATGTAATAAAATTTTTAAATTCATTAGTTACATGTTATTAATCACTATCTAATTATCTTAAATTTTGGATTAATTTTGTACTAATGCTTAGCTTTTTCATTTTTTGATATACCTTTTATTGTGAATTTACTATATCTAAGTCTAATTAAAAAGATTTTTATCTTAAAATATCATACTCCTAAAATAGCAATTTCAAAACATAACTAATTTGCTATTTTAATTTAATCTCATTTTCAATTTATTATTCTTGTTTAATATAAGCTTCTTATAACTATTCTTCTTTCTATAAAATTTCCTAAAATCTGTTTCTCATCAAACTGGCTAATTTAGGATCTTTCATATTTGATATATCCTTATATCTGTTTTCTTTGTAATAATCAACAAAATCTATAAGATTATTCAAATAAAAATCTTCTTTTCCATCTAAATTCTAGATATCTGGAATTTCATTAAGAGTTTATTAAATACATTAAATTCTCACTTATTGTTCTCTTATTTGATTCTCCTTTTTTTATTTATCTTCTTATATGGATTATAATTTTATTTATAGTAATTTTATTTTTTCTTCATCATCTTTTTCGGCTTTTTCTTTCTCTGATAACATTTTAATATCTTTATCTTTTCCTTTACTATGACTTTCAAGTGACTTTCTGTAATAATAATAATTCTCTTTCTTTTTTTTATCTTTTTCTATTTCTTTCTCTGAAAGTCCTCTCTAAATACTTTATTTACACTTATAATCTTCTTAAATTCCAAAAGAATAGACATTTTTCTGATGCTTAGAACTTCCTCCTGGTTTTGGTGTAGGATTCATAGATCTAGTATAGTTGTCTGGAGTTACTGATTCTTATTTTTCTTATATAATATCATTCATTTAAAGATGTTACTTTTTCATTCTAAATTATGGTTTGGAATCAGAATTATATCTAACTAAATGATTATTTATATCCCTATCTTATGCAAATAGTTAGTTTATCATACTATCATCTGTTCTACCTGTGTCTAATTAATCATCCTTGTAATTTTTATTCCCTTATAAATTTTATAAATTCAATGATATTATGGGACGATTATTATTAGTTTCTTACTACTATTCGTCTTTTTTATTTAAATTTTTTTTTTAAGAATCTGTTAATGGATCTAATTCATTCTCTATTTCTCTTTGTATCTCACCTAATTCTTAAGTTCGCTAACTTGGAATATCATTACAATTAAAATCCACTTCAGATTCATTTTAATGTAATTATTGACTTTCATTCATATTTTCTAAAGCATTTGATATTCTAGATTTCTTAGATTTAACTGAGTTTTTTTATGAATCATTATCTTTGATATGATTTTCATCCTAATCATTACGAGTTTCATAATCATTTTATAAATTTTCATCATTATTGCTACACTTTTTATCCTCTACTTTGGTTTCATCATAATTTTAGATTTACTCCTTTTATTCTTAATTATCTTATATTTATTATTAAAAATCTTTATCTTATATTTATTATTAATAATCTTCTTCTTAACTATTATCTTTTTTTTCTGTTATATTTTCTATTTATTAGTAATAATCATCTTTCTAATCTTAATTATCTTCTTATTATTCTTAATTACTTTCTTTTTATTCTTAAATAATTTTTTGATATTCTTAATTATCTTCTATTTTTTCTTTTATTACATCTTCTTATTCTTAAATATCTTTTATTTAATCTTAACTATCTTTTATTTAATCTTAATAATCATTTTCTTAATTATTATTATTTTAATCTTATTAATCTTCTATTTATACATTAGATTCTATTTAGTCATGTTCTTTTTAATCTTAAATACCTTCTATTTATTCTTAATACTTTTCTTAATTATCATCTTAATATTCTAAATTATCATCTATTTATTATTAATAATGTTCCTATTTATCTTCTTATTATTCTTATTAATCCTCTATTTATTCTTAATAATCTTCTTAATTATTTCCTATTTATTTTTAATTATCTTCTATTTATTCTAGATATTTTTTTTAATTATCATCTTATTATTCTAAAATATCTATTATTTATTATTAATAATTTTTCTATTTGTCTTCTTTTTATTCTTAATAATATTCTATTTATTCTTAATTATATCCAATATATTGTCTATTATCTTCGATTTATTCGTAATAATTTACTTAACTATTATCTTTTTTTTTTTAAATATCATCTATATATTCTTTACAATTATCTTAATTATCTTCCTTTTTTTCTTTAATTTATTTTGAATGATCTTCTTTTTATTCTTAACTATCATTAATTTATTCTTAATAATTTTCTTAATTATCATCTTTGTATTCTTAAAAATTTACTTAATTATGTTCTTTTTAATCTTCAATATATTATTTTTATATATCTTCTTAAGTATCAATTTTTTATTCTTAATTATCATCTTTTTATTTTTGAATATCATTTTTTAATTTGTAAATATCGTCATTTTATTCTTAATTAACATTTTTTTATTCTTCAATATTATCAAATTATTCTGAATTATCATCTTTCTAATCTTAAATATTATCCATTTATTCTTAATTATTAACTTTCTAATCTTAATAATCATCTTTTTATTCATTATTACCATCGTTCTAATCTTTATAATCATCTTTCTAATCTTAAAAATCATCTTTTTGTTATTCTTTGATATCATCTATTTATTCTTAGATCTTATCTTTCAAATCTTAGTAATCAACTTTCTAATTTTAATTATCTTATTTTTCTTAAAAATCTTCACTTTATTTTAAACAATCTTTTTTTTATTATTAATCAACTAAATTGTTTTAATCTAATTCATATTGATTTTCTTTTTAATCTTTTTAATTTTCATTTTATTCTAAATGATTTTCTTTTTCCTCTAAAGAATTTTCATCTTACTAGAAATAATTTTCACTATACTTATTTTGATCTAACTCATTGTTATTTCGATTTTAATCTTAATGTTTTTCATCCTAATCATTAAGATTTTCTCCAAGACTTTTATCATCATTTACTTCATCTGGAAGTTCAATTTTTTAATCGTTTTGTTAAATTTCATTTATCTTTACTTATTCTGAATTTTCATTAAATTCATCTACACTTTTTTCGACTTGATTTTCTTCAACTTCAATTTTGATATATTTTTGATCTTATTCAAAGTCCAAATCTATTTTAGATATCTCATAATTTTATTCCAAAAAATGTATATTTTATTATTTAGCAAATAAAACACTTCCTAAATCATTATATTTTGGTTCTTAAGAAATTGCACTAACAGTATTTTAAGATATAAAATTACTATAGCTTTAGAATTCTATTTGTTAATTTTATTGTTATTATTAATCTTATCCTTATTAAATAATTTGTTATTTTTCCTCATTTAAACATTGTGATTCATTAATTTATTTTTCATTTAAATCTTTTGTATTTAGATCATCACCTCGAGTTTCTTGTTAATTTTAAGAAAATAAATTAACAGCCACATCAAGATTAGGTAAATTTAAATGATTTTTTTCTTCAATATTTTAAGTTTCTACATGAAGATTCGATTCAATTTTATCTTATTCTTGTAATTAAGGTTAATTCTCAAAAGCAGATTATTTTATGGGTTAAAATTAATTTTAAGGAACATCTATTTATATTTATTCTTATTTATCATTATTTTACATACTTTCTGAATTTTGATCTACTTAATTATTTTGTTATTCATTTATGATCTAATCAATTTTATCTTGAATTTCCTCTAATAAATTTTAGTGATGGTTTTCATCATTATTTTAATTCACATTTGTTGTTGGTTCTTAGTAATCAGATTGCTTTTATTACAATTTATCTTCTTATTTGATTACATCATATTAATCAGATTACTCATCAACAATAATATCTTCTAATAAATTTTCATCTTTATTTAGATTTTAATCACTAATATTTGAATTTTATTATAATGGTAAAATGTTATTGTAATTTTATTAAGAAAGTACAGTAACTTACATATTATCTTAATCTTGTCCTGTTATATCTTATATGATTTGTACTTCCTCATTCTGTACTTCTTCCTGTAGTTCTTTTTTTCCTTCATCTATTAAGAATTATTCTTATCCAAATTTATCTTAAATTTCTGTAACATGATCTTCATCTCTTTAATTATTAATTTAATGATAATCCTTTTAAATATTTTGTTCTTCCCCTATCTATTTGTCTTACTTTAATTAATTATCTTGATTATAACTTGAATTATTATGATTTTCATCATTATTTTCTATTCTATCATCATGTATATTATTTTACTCATTTATTATTTCTGAAATATTTTTTGAATTGATTTCATTATAATCTTAGTTTCTAATATCTACTTAAGTATCTTAATGATCTTCCTGTTTTTCAATATTTAAAGTATCACTATTAGAAAATACTTCTTGTTCTTTACTTTAATTGAAGACTTCGGTCTATAATTTTATTTATGTATCATTTAATTCTCTGTGAGTTTAAATTATTTCAATATTATTATCATCATTAATAGATTGATCATTAAGCTTTTCTTCAATAACTTCTGAATATTTTTATTATTTAAAAGAGTTTTGATCAACTTCATCATTTTGAATAATTTGATCTATCTATTATTCTGATTGTTCTATTTTTTATATTAATTAATTATCTTCTTGACTATAATTATGTTATTTTTAAATTTCTTCACAATCCTTATTTTCTATATTATTTTCTTTAAAAAGTGATGTCTATTCTTAAGTATCAATTTGATCAGATTATTTTATTGAATTCTAAGATGAATCTAATATTTAAACATTTTAAACTATTTATTCAGCATCTTCTTAAATTTCTAAATTTTAATCATTTATTTCTTCTACTAATTTGTTTTATACTAATTTTATTAAGGTATTTTCATTTACTATATTATCTTATTTTACTACTTCATTTAAATTAGATTCAATTAAATCAGATTATTTTTCAACTAGATTATTTATATTCTAATTATCCTATTCAATGTTAGAGTTATCATAAATTAAATTTAATTATTATTCTGCTATTTACTAATCAATAGCCTGATTAATAAGGATTTATTCGGTATCTTTAATATTCTGTTACTCAAAAATTTATTCATTATTATTATCATCATAATTGATATCTTCTATATTACTTTTAATTGATTAATTTGGTATTTCTTAAACATTATCTTATTCTATTTTTTAACTATCATTTAAAATAATATTTTCTTAATTCTAAATATTCTCTTTTTATATTATTTCTTCAGTATTATTGGGATATTATTTATCATCATTATTATTATTACCATTATTATTTTGATTTTCAATTAAAGTTCCAATATTTTATTCTGTATTTTCTTATTGAATTTATTCTTATTCTTAATCTTAATTATTTAAATTAGTTTATTCTAATTAAATGTTTTCATAATTTTTATTAAATTAAATATGAATTTTATTTTTAATTTCATCTTCATTATCATTTAACTTCTAATTAGTTGATTCATTAATATCATTAAAATTTTGATCAATAAGAATTTAATCATTTTTTTAATTGTTAAATTAATTTTCTTGAAATCCATCCTCTTAGTCTATTGGAATTTTATTATCTGGACTAGGTTCTTCATCATCATCATCTAATGTTTTTTTAACAAATTCAGATTCCAAATCTCCAAAGCCATAATCTTCATCTTCTTCTTGAGTATTTTCAATTGGTTAAGATATTTATTTTGAGATAATCTCTTTCACAATTATATTATCTTATTTATCTTCCTATTTTATATTTTATAATCTAGCTGATTAACTTCCTTATTATTAATCTTCTTAAAAATCAATTTCTAAAAATTTTGTGCTTGATATATCCTAAGATTATTTCTTTAAAAAGTTGACATTATTTTTTTGATTAGCATCTTCTGTTCTGTTTGTCAGAATAGGTTCAACTGTTTCTCCATCAACCATTTCATTAAATTATCTTTGACTCAAAGCATCATTACTCTACATATCTTCTTATATTGTATTTAATCTATCACCAATTTAATCTGGAATTTATTTTAAATCTCCAATTTCAGGTGGTAATTTTTTTTATTAATTAGATTTGTCTACTTATATAGTATCAATTTAAGGAAGAGATCTTACTTTTTAATTATTAGAATCCATATTTTAATCTATATCTAAATTATCTATTTATTTTATATCATCTTCAATTGATATCTCACCATCATCATTTTAATCTAATTCTGGATCATCATTACTTAACTATTTATCATCTATTTATATTAATTACTATTTTTCTATCTCATTTTATTTTACAATTTCTTGTTAATCTTCATCATTTTCAGTATCATGTTATTAATCTAAATCATTACTATTATGTTATATTTAATCAAATTAATTTTAATCTTATTCTGACATATTTTCATTTAGAGCTCCTTCTTAATATTCTAATTCTGATTAATCATTCTAACTATCTTAATTATCTTAACTATTTTAACTATCTTAAATATCTTAATTATCTAAATTATCTTAATGTTCTTCTTTTTATTGTATCACATTTATTTTTTATTGATCATAAATTATTTCTTATTACTATCCATCATTCAATAAAAATTATTCTTTAACTTATTATTATTCTATTTAAGCTTATGATGATGAAAACTATTTTTATTTTGTGGGCAATATGTCCTTATTTTATGGAGATGGTTTACGACTTGAAGAATTGCTATTTACTGATTTACTTAATTTATTTAGACCACTTGAACGATGTCCTGACAAAGTATTCTCCTTCTTTAAAAGAGATATTTATTTTTATTATCCGTGTTTTAAATGTTATGGTTAATTACTAATAAGAGTTTATTTTACCTTAAAATCACTTGGGTTTTTAGGCCTCCCATCATCTATTTTCGAAGTTATCTTTTTAAAGGATACCTTTTAAGTAATCTTACTTGTGCCTTTAATAATAGTTTATTCTATTATTTTTGCTGGTGATGGTTCTTTACTTGCAATTCTCTTAGAAGATAGATCAGGAATATTCTAACTTGAAGATACTCTACTAATCTAAGTTGACTTTTATTAAGGTTTTTAAAGAGTGGAATTTGAACCTTTATTAATATTATTTGTTGAATTTTCTCTACTTAATTTAATAGGATTTGAAAAATCAATAGATGGTTATGAAATTTTTTATTGTGATTCAGATTTTGAGCTTTTAGAAGGAGGCTTTGACATTTTTATAAATTTTTATAAAATTTAATATATTTATAATTTAAATTCTTCAATAATACCTTTAGGATGTATATCCTTAATTTATATACTACGCATTCAAATTAGGATAAGTAGATTAAATTGATTGATAAGGTTATAGCATTTAGGGATAACCTTAATATTTATTGTTCTAAATCAATTAAGTTTATTTGAATGGCTATTATTGACCATAAATTTATTATAGATTTCCATTATAAATTAATGGATTCTGGATTTATTAATTTGGAACCTGTTACAGAGGTAATTTTTATATTTATTGATAACCATAAGATTGTTCTAATCCTGGTTGTTATTAAATAATTAAAGATTCATGTTATTACTTTACTTAAATGTTTTCTTAAATTTTAGAATTTTAATATGAATTTATTTGAGAAACTTAGCAATTCTGAGATTTTACTGTTAAAGCCTAGCTCTAAATTATTTCTGGAGATGCAAGCTTATGAATGTCAAGAAACTCTGGTAAATCTTTATGAATCACATTTACAATCTATGCAATTTATAAACTAAGTTATGAACTAATAATTAATTTTATAAATAAATTACGATTTTATTGAATCAAAGGTTATAATTGATGATGCTTCTTTAAATCTGGAACAATAATATTAAGCTGTTTAAAGACATTAATAATTATCTTCTTTAGTTGTAGATAATAGATATGGTAGTAAAGAATACATGCAATCTGGTTTTTATAATTTATCTAAAAAATTTTAATGAGATTTGAATCTTGCATCTAAAATATCGATTAATGATTTTCCATCACGATTAAAATTATCCAAATTCTTTTTCTATCTGTTATTTAATTCAATTTCTAATGAATGGAAATACTATTCTACTATTTATAATATTCTTTATTTAGCTTCCTTTAATTTCTATACTGTTTCTTAAGTATATGCCGATGCTTAAGTCTGTGATTTTTCAATATCTTATTTTGCACATGCCAATTAATTAGCTTAATATATTCATATCTAAATATACCTTATTAACAGACTTCTTGGTGAACATCTGTTAAAATATTTTCCAAACATTCAAGTTTAGGATATGAGTTAAATTGTGAATGCTCATATACATGTTCTTTCACACATTCTGGACATAAGGGCAATATGCATTCTTTACATTTGCAAAAATTTGTAAAAGTCTATCCCTAATGATTAAAACAATTAATCTAGTTATTTTTTATATAATTTACTTTTGGCATATTTTATGCTGTAAAAACAAAAGGATATGTTCTATTTAATGGTTTTTATTCTTCTTACTAAATGTAATCACCATTGTAATATTGATTAGGAGGTACAAAAGATGATAATTATTAATTCTATCTCTATTATTATTCAAGTTGTTTTTCCTTTCCATATTATTAATAATACATATTAAAATTTTGAGGATTCCATTAACCCAGGTTCATAATATTGTTCATCATAGTTATTGTTCTTATTACCCAATGATGTCTCTGACATGACAGTTAAAAATAATTATAAACTTTTAAATATAATAAATTAATTATTATCAACAAATATTTAAGGTTTATACTCTGTTTTGAATTATTTATTCTTTTTTATTGCTTATAAAAATTGTTTGTGATCTAAAGACAAATATCATTTTTTCTAAGCAAATGTATCTTATATATCTTAAATTTTTAATTGGAATTTATGCTTATTCTTTAAAAAGCTATAGTGATAATTTAGTGTTCCTAATCTTAAAGAATATCAAAAAATATTTTATTAGTTCTAATTTTGATATCTTTACCAAAGCTAAAACAGTGGATTCTCTTTAACTATATTAATATGATCCATCACTTATTTGTTAATATATTTATTCAATCGAGCTTTATTAAATAGAAAAATATTTTGTAATTGCTTTATTAAAATTTTTATAAATTTATTAGTCATAAAACCTTTTCTTTTGTTAAAGTATTTATTCCCAACATTATTTTTATGTTCCTAATTCTCTATGTATCATTATAAATCTTCCTTATTTATTATGATAATTTTCATTACTTACTTATCAATTTCTTCTATTTATTAAGTAATATATTGTATCATTATTTCAATATATCCAAAACTTATTTCTATTAGTAATAATCACAATTAATAATTCTTATAATCTTTCTCAATAAATCATCATATAGATATTTTAAACAGTTTATTATAATTATTAAATGTAATTAATCATTCCCTATTATCAATATATATTAAAAATAATGGAAATAAGGATAATTAAAAATCTGTATTTATAAACTATAATGTATCATATAATTGTAAACTATAATTCCTCAAAAGCTTTTTTGTGACTTTCTTATTTAATATGTTGACTGTAAGCTTATTCATTGCCTTCAAAATATCCCTTTTCATCATATCTTTATTCTACAAAACAACATTTGCATGTAAACTTTAAATTTTACAATTTTCTTTATTAAACAGCCTTAATATTAATATATATTAAATACTTAGTTTTCTTTCTTTTTAATCTCATCTATAGTTAATTTTCTAAATACAAATTTTTCTTCTTCCATATTAGTATAAACTAATTTCAATTTTTAATCTATTATATAAAATTTTTAAATATCTCCTATCTATACTATTTCTTTAAATTATTTAATTTTAGGATAAAAACCAATAATATGTTTACCAGAATTACAGGTTATGAAAACATAATTAATAGGCTCAAAAATTAGTTTGAGTTTTTCAAAAATGCTTTAAATTCTTTGATCTGAAAGAAACTCTTTAATTTAATCAACTTTCATTGATATATTGAAATAATCACCAAATGAACTTACATCCAAAATCATAACCATTCTCTTAGCCCATTCTAAAGCATCATTATCTAATTATTTTCTAATATCAGGATCTTCTGATATATATGATAATCCAATAGTTCTACCAACAGTCATATAATCATTGCATTCCAAACAACAAATCTGAGTAGTGTTACCCATTCTTAAAAAGAAATTTTATTTTTTTATTGTATTAACTATATTTTATTTCCATGTCTAATATAATTATTGTATTTGAACATATATTTTAATACCTTCATTATCAAATTATTTAGGTATTTCAGAATCATAATCTGTTCTTATAATTTATATAGGATTCATATAATCTAAACTATCAGCCTTTTATTCTTCTAATTCAAAATGTTAAATTCTCTTTCTTTTTTACTTATTTTCACTTGATTCTTAAAATGATAGAATTTCATCTTTTAATTCAATATCAAATAATTATTTCCATCTTTCATCAGAAGTATATAATATCTTTTATCTTACTTTATCTAATTATCGTATTTTTTACCATATTCCAGTATCAGTATAATTCTATTCTAATATTTATAATTTTATTTATTATCTTATTGAATTAATTGTTTATAAATCATCTTCTGTAATAAAATAATCAAATTAATAGTCTCTTTCATCAACTTTAGCTTTTATAAAATGTGTTTTTGTATTATTATGATAGAGTTTCACTTATACTCCAAAAAGCATAGCCAATATTTAAGACCATAACAAATATTTGTTCTAATCTATTGAAATAACTTGTCTTGTTGAATTTCTTTTATTTGAATCTTTCTCTTATACTTCATATGCAACTAATATTTTATTTTAATCCAAAGAAATAAAATTAATACTATCAGGATCACAATTAATTTCTTTATGTTAATGAATCAATCTACAATAACATCCATAGAATATCAAAGATTAAGTTATTTCTATAAAATTAATAATATCCGCTTAGTTACTTAGTGTAAATTATTCCCAAACTATCTTTTATGGTTATTTTCTACTTTATTATCTTTTCATTAATTCACATTCATGCATAAGCCTTTTTAAAACATATTTCAATTTTGACAATTCCACTTCTTTAAATTCTATTATTATAGTATTATTTAATAGAATAACACTTTAAACCCAACTCTTAGTAAATTTTGATTTTGCTTTTATTTCAGTTAACAATTACAAATCTGATCTAAAATGAAATTTTGGTAATCCTTATCTTCCTTAAACTTATTCATCGTGATATGCTAAAATATCTTTTAATTAATCTTCTAATCTTTTTTAACTTCTATCTAATTAATGAAAATCACAAAATTATTCCATTATCATAGCAATCTTCTCTTTTATCATCTCTTTATTCTAAATATTTAATCCATCAAATTTAATATTATCACTCTCTAACATTATTGTACGAGTATAATCAAAACCTTAATCTTTCAAATATTTTATCTTTTTATCATATCTCTCATCTTTTGCTAATCTAAATGTATTTTATTTAAAAGCAGCACAAAAAGCACTCTTAATTTTAAGTTAATTTTCTGGATTATTTAAATCAAGAGGTTCATTCTTAAATTATTAATCTAATCTCATAAATAATTCATATTTCACATTTAATATTTCTCTCATATTCTTTGGATCAATCGATCTCTATTCACAATACAATTTTTCTAAAGGTCCTATATTTCTATTTGTAAATCTTTTTAATTCTCTCTTTAATTCATGTTAAGTAATTGTAGACTTAAGTATATTAAAAAACTTAATTTCCCATTCTTAATAAACTCTTAATTATATTAGTAAATCATCTTCATTACCTTTATCATATAGATATAAAGAATTAAAGAACAACTTTTAAGATCTCATAAAATGATGTAAAAAATAATTTTTTCTTTAGCTTAAAATAGCTGCTATTGTAACACCCTCATAAGCACATCCAATTATATTACAATACATAATAAATCTAGTTAAAAAGATATCAATTGGCATATCACTCATCATTAATCCCAATCTTGTTATATGGATAATGGAATTCTGAGCATTTGGATAAGATAGAGCTCCTAACATTTAAAGATTTGAAATAGCATTTTCAATTTATTTAGTACTTGGAGGGTCAATAGCAGTTTTTAGGGTGCGACCTGGATCATTGAAAACCTACTTTAAATCAATAATAGTATTAAGTTCTAATTTTTCAGTTTTTTTTTCATTATCCATAGATAATTGATATAATTTTTTTAGTCTTAATATAATAATTTCTAAGGGACATCTTAACATTTCACAAACAGAATATTAAGTCATTTTTTATTTAAAAATACTTTAAGGTATTAAACGAAAACATGTTCCTGGGAATAAACGTCCAGTTCTTCCCTTTCTTTAATCAGCAGATGCTTTAGAACAGTATTATAATGCTAATTTTTCAGTTAAATTTTTAGGATTATAAATAATTTCTTTAGTTAAGCAAAAATCAATAACAAATTTACAATCAGGAACAGTAATACTACTTTCAGCTACATTAGTACTTAATATTAATCTTCTTTTTCTTTTTTGAATATCATCGAAATCTTTAGGGATAGTGACAGTACTATGTAATATAATAATAATAAATCTGTCTTCACCAAATTTTTGATATATTTCTTCTCTTATATCCATGATTTCTTAGTATCCAGGAAGGAAAATTAATACTGCACCAGCTCCTTGCATACCTTAAGTATCTTTAATTTTATTAGAGTCTAAGAATTCTAATATTTATAACATGGCTTAGACACTATCCTATTGAATTTTAGGAATATCTTAAAAGTATAATGAAGTTTGAAATCTTAAAGGTTGATGAGGTTCTAATTTTGCAGTGTCAGCATCGTTAAAATATGAATGAATTTCCTCCATATAATAAGTTTCTATAGGATATTTTTAAGACATAGGAACTTTAATAATAGGTGCAGGTGCATCATCATCTCCATCTAAGAAATGTTATCCTATTTCTCTTAATTCATTTTGTTTTTATTCTAATTCTCTTTATTCTTAGGTTAATTTAACCTATCTATCCATATCTTTCCAAGATTAACCCCATTATGTGGCAATATCTTAATCCTCTTCACCTTCAAATTTGATTGCAATCTCTACATCATTTTCTTATGTCATATCTACTTATTTGTATTTTCTATCTACTCTTTGTATATATGTTAGATCATCAACTAAATTAATTGATTTTTTTGAAAAATAATTTGCAAATTTATCACTGCAAATAGTTGCAGACATTAGAATCAATTTAGTGTCTTTAAAATATTTTAATAGATTTTTGATAATGATTAAACAAAAATCTATATCAATATCTCTTTCATGAACTTCGTCCATAATAATATGAGTATAATCTCTAAAAACTCCTTCTCTATCATGAACTAATTTTTATAGAAATATTCCTGTGGTTACAAATTAAATCTAAGTTTATCTTGAACTTATTTGGGAATCCATCCCAACTTAATAACCAACAAGAGTGCCTAATTGACAATCTAATTCTATTGCTACTCTTTTTGCTAATGATTTAGCAGCCAATCTTCTTGGTTAAGTACATAAAATATTAATTGCTCTTGGAGTTTCAAATTCTGTATTAGTATGATGTCTCAATATCATCTATGGAACTTGAGTTGATTTACCACAACCTGTACCTCCAGTAATTACAATCACTTAATTATTCTACATTTCCTCTAGAATTTTATGACTCACATTATAAATAGGTAAAGCTTTTCGTTCTGTTTCTGTCAATGGTTTTATTACTCTTTTCCTTAAATGGGATAGTTGTTATATCTAGACCTCTTATTTTTATTACAATGGAATATAATCACCAAGATTATCATTTTAAGTTCTAACTTTTTTCCTTACTATATCCTCTACCTAAGATTCCTTCTTTACTAACATTTCTTCATCCATTTACATTTATTATTTTTTAAATTGCTTTTTTTGGCTACAAAATAGGTATCAAATATTAATATTATACTTAAATATTTAGTAATAAAATAAATATAAATAATTCAACCCTCAAAAATATGTGTAACTAAATACGATTTATAAGATTTAGTTAACATATCATCCCTTCTGAAATATATTAAATAATATTTTCAATAATTATTGATATTTATATATTAATTATATTTCAAATAACCATCAAATAATAAAATATATAATTTTAGAATCCAATAAATATCTATAATTTCTGATTTAAAACAAACAATAGGTTAAACTTAGGTAGAAACTTCAATAAAAAATTAAAATTATCTTATTGAATATTTATTTCTATTAATATAGTATTATAATAATATTATAATTAAAAAATGATATTCCATATTTGGAAATCTAAGATTAAAATGCTAGTAAAATGAATAATAAATAATTAATTTCAATTAAAATTATGTTATTTTAATATGACATATCATTTCATGTTATTAGCTGCCAATTATTGTTCTGCTGATTTAAGTAATGTTTTTCCTTAGACATTATCTTATTTAATTACAAAGTTATCTTTTCCTGTATTAGAATTGATAAAATTAATTTCTTATTGAGTAAACTAAAGTAATTAAATGATAAATTACAGGTATTCCAATATCTTGTAATTAATTCAAACAATTCAGAGTTTCTTTCACATATTAAGCTTAAGTTATTCTTTAAAGAGTATGGTCTTAATCTAATTTCTTAATTTTTTCTCTTATTTAAGTACCTTATGATGATGACATAAGATGTTTGATTTCTTCAGCATTAAAAGAATTCTTTATTGCAGCTCTTAATTGTTCTTGCTATTATTATATTGCATTCTTTAATGTTAAATCACCCTATTCTATTTCTTATAATTTAGTTTAGAATATTTCCAACTCTTATAATGTGTCATTTTTCATTTATCTATAATGTATATGATGTTATATACTTATATTCTTCAGGATCTAATTCATTTTTATATTCCTCAAGATCTTTAAGTTATTCAAGTAATCTTTTTAATTGTTATTCAATGTTTTCTAATATCTTTTTATCCATTTTTTTAAAAAAGAATATAAATATTTAATATATTTAATATATTATATTAATTGATAATTCATTTTTAAGGTTCTAAAGAAATTGATCGCTATTCTATTTATTCATCAATTAGTTGATTTTCTTCAGGATCCACCATTTCCCCAGGTTCTCTATCATCATTAGACTATTATTATTAAGGTTCCTATTATGAAGTAGAATCTAATTATTATTGAATTTCTTATGATTCCTATAGAGTTATATGATTTTTTTTTTCATTATCTTATTATAAACATTAATTTTTATCTATTAATCCTGAATTTTAATTTAAGATAGTTTTTTTGTTTTCAGATTAAGTAAAATTAATAATTGTATTTTTATTTAATTATTGATTATGATGATCTTATTATTTTTATTCTTCAACATGAGTATGATTAGAATATTTTTTAGAATCAATATATTTAGGATTCCTAAGTAGGATTGATTTAATCAATTATGCTCTTTCTAAATTATCTTTTCCAGGAGCATAGAATTTAATATCTGCATTATTTTCATGACCTACTATACAATTTTCCAAAAAGTTCATAAAAAGTAATGGAGCTGCCAATTTGAATTAATCATATTAATAGAAATCTGAAATTGGTACTACTCCATCTGCTCTAGGTTTCCATTTAACTTCAAATACACAATCTTCATTTGTTAACAATAAATGAACACTATCTATTTCATCACATTTTTGAGGGTAAGAACTACAAAATTTTGAGGCCATTTCTTTTTATTTATTTAATAGAAGTTCTTCAGAATAACTAGGATGTTTGAGACTTTATTGTACTTATTACATGACAGGTAATTGTTATGCTGCATTTTTAAGATTTTTTTATTTTTACTCTTAAAATGATTGTTAATTCTATAGGAATTCTTCTAAAATTGAATGTCTAACATTTTATTCATATTCCCATGTAGTTTATTCAGATCCTTTCCATTTCATTAAATACTAAGATTGATTGTTTATTAATCTTTTTTTGAGAATCCTTTCTGGAGATCGAGGAGTTATTAATTAATAATCCTATTATTTAGTAGGGCGCATAATAATTATTATTAATTGAATTGATTTGAAGCCACTAAAATTTAAATCCTAAAAGTGCCAAAAATTTGCATCCTATTCTCAAAATAAATAATGCAATTATATAATGTAATATAAAAAGAATTACCCTAATATTTAATTTGATCTTTCAATTGACAATTTTGGACTGACAGATGATGATATATTACTAACAACAAACCTTACTAAAAGGCCTATATATTAAATCAAAAATATTTAATAAACAGCTAATTGTATTACAAATATGATATAAGAAAATGAATTCAAGAAAAGACCCTAAATAAATATTCATAAAGAATTATTTACACCAAGAAAAACATATAATTAAAATTTCAAAAATTACGATTCATAATTATTTCCTGTGATTAATACTAAATAAAATCATTTACCTAATTTTTTAGAGCTATCTAAACTAATTAAATTAACTGAAACTCCTAGAATCTCACATAAAATAAAACTTAGATCTAGAAGTACTGATAAACGATTCAATTTCCATAAAAGTAATTCAAATAAAAAATTATAAACTGATACTAAAAATATTGAAGAATAATTCTAAGAAACTAAAAATTTAATTAAGAGATTTAACAGAATCAAAAGAAAAAAAGTTAGATTTGATGTCTCTACTTGATTATTTTATTTAAGGAAAAATAATTACTATATCATGCATTATTTTCAGCATTCTCTTCTTTCATTTTTTCAATAAGTAAATTCCATTCCTCCAATTATTTTGGATCTGGCTATTTTTAATGTTCTATCATTTTAAAACATTCATCTTTTGGTTTTGGTTGCTATTACTATTAATGTTATTATTATAATTTTTATTATTTCCTCTCTTATTTCTCTTGATCAGGAGATATTCCCAAATCTACTAATCTATTGACCTTCTTAGATCCACTTATTTTCTTACGATTCTAATTTAATTTCATATATTCTTCCAAAGCCTTTCTTTCTCTAATATAAGTTAATTCCTATTATTTTCTTATCTTACAAAATTCCTACAATTAATGAGTATTCATCCATTGTCTTGTAATTATCTTTCTCTTATTTAATCCTTTGTCATCTATAGGTTCTACCTAAACATTCTAATCCAAATCAAATACATATTATTTGTTATTTACATACATTATAATGAGAGGCTTGAATTAAATAAACTGTTTTACTTCTCCTTTAATCATCAAATCTTCCAATTAATTTTATATTACTTTTTCATATTGAATCCATGTTTATCCATTATAATAAGACCATTTCCCTTATTATATTTTGATTTGTCTAGACACAATTGATGATTCTCTCCTAATTTTATAATAACTAATTTAATGATGTATGACCATATGATCATAATCCACTATAAACTGCATGTCTTTAAATATAATCTGGAACTCTCCTTGATTACAATAATGAAGCATATTTTCTAAGAGATTGCATCTTCTCCAATCAAAAATTTTCCATTTCCCATCTTCATCTAGGTAAAACCAATCAACATCATGATGTGGAGGTGGAAATGTGCTGATGGTTGGTATTTGCTAGGGCCTATATAAATAAATAAATAATTGTGTTTGTAATAATACATATCAATAAGTGAAGGTGTAAATGTATATTAAGGCTATAAAAATAAGTATTATAAAAATATACTTGGAAATCTATATAACGTATAATATAAAAAAATAAACTTACATATTGGTTGCACTATTTGAGGAACATTAAATGAGTACATTCTTATTCTTTCTTTCAATTATTTAATAATTGATTATATATAAATTTAAATATTAAATTGATTAATTATAAATATTTATATTCTAAATGTTTGAAATATTTCAATTTTAATTCATTCTAATTTACTTTCAACAATAGTCTTAAAAATAAATTAACTGGGCTATTTAGAAAAATACTTACTCTGTCTCAATAGCCTACCAGTATTACGATTAGAAATTGATAATGGTTCAGTAATTATTGTTTATTCATTTCTCATTGTCAATTTTGGCATTCCTCCATCCATTGTCATAGAACTAATTGAAAATAAAAATAAATACGATTTAAATTATATTATCTATTAGGCTTAATTAATTAAATATTCTCTAATCATTTTAAACCGTTCTTTAATCAATTTCTTTCTTAATGAATTCTATATGAATATTCTCTTTAAGTTCCTATTCCTATTGATTATATGAGGAAACTTTAGATATATTATTGTTTTAATGTCATCAATTGTTTTTTACATTTTATCAAAGTAAGCATATATCAATTTTTATAACATATTTGCAATAAATAAAAAGTTTAAGACTCCTAAGATTGTATAAAATGGCAATACAACCTCAATTATGTCAAAAGATTATGCTGTATAGATTGAAGATGCTAAGACTATAGATATTGAACAAATAGATGTAGATAAGAAGTCTATTTTATTTAATAGAGCAGATTAATAAGGTTTGTATTTAGTACTTAAATGACTGTAAATATAGAGAATTAAGAAAACTAAAGAAGCTTTAACAGCAACATAATCAGAATAGTATAATAATACCAAAATGATTAATTCTTTTTATAAAATCTTCAAAGTTTCCCAGTAATAAGTTTCTAATTTATATTCATTATATAAGTAGCCCCACATCTTTCTTACTTTCATTGAATTTAACTATTTTCTATTGTAATAAACAACAAACCAAAATAAAAATGGTATAAGCAATCCTAAAATAAAAAAGCTTGGTATAACAAAACTAATTAACCATATAGCATGTTAATATGTATCATATAAATAAGATACATTACCTGATACCCAAAATTCATTTGATATTTTTCTATATGACAACAATCCAATTAATCCACTGATAATGTTAGGAAATAAATAAATATAAATGTAAATAAATGTAGTAGTGATAAATGTTATTTAAAACTTACTTTTCTTTATAAATAAAAGCATTATATAAATTGTAAGAAACAGCAATATATATATTCCTATTGTTAAAAGACTAAAAATAATTCTAAAATATAAAATTGGAATCATTTAATTTGATTCAGCTAAAAAACAATCTAAAGAAAATGCCATTGAATCTATTGGACTACCAACACCACTAATTACTAAAGTTATTCCCAATGGAATTGATAATTAAAATGAAGTTATTGAACTGATAATCTGAAGATAGTTAGTAAAAACTTTTAATAGAACAGATGTAGATGTTGGTTAGGTAATAATATAATTTCGTAATGATTTAAGTTTCAATTAAAAGATAAATTCTTCAATCATTTAAACTGTGCTGGTAACTGAAATGAAAAGAGATAATAAAGTCCATAATACAACTAAAACTATATTTATAATATTCTTTGCCACTTATTAACAACTACTACAATTATATGCTTAACCTATTGAAAAATAACCTTATCCTCTAATATTATATAAATCACATTATTCACATAATGCTCCTATGTGTCCTATTCCACAGGATGGATTGCCAGCAAACCATCCACCTTAGCAATTTTAATATTAATGATAGCAAAGTTCAACAATGTTACTATAATAATATGCTCTCCAATATCCTGATCGTAGTTCAATCATTGCTGGTTTAATTGATTTCATTTTCTATTCATCTTTGAATTAGCAAGCTTAGGCATTTTATTAAACTGAATATTGATTTTAAGTTATATCACATTGAACACAGCCTCCAGAAGTAGAGTTTAAATATTCTCCTAATTGGCATTTAAAAGTTCTCAAATGTAATAATAATATATAATTATCTAGAGTATAATTTAATTCATAAGGAGCATAGTCATTATAGATAGGAACTTTTATTGCTTTACATAAAAAAGCTAATTAAAGAGAATATTGTTTTTCTTGTAAAGGATTAAAATATAATGTCAGATTATCTAAGTTATAATCTTAAGTTTAATCATTAAAATACACTTTAGTATATGATAGGGATTAATTAGAAATGTTATCCATTATATTCTAGATCTTTTATTATTGGTTATATCTATCTACAATTGAAGGATTTATAATACACTTTGTGCCATTTAGATTTTTCATTTATTCAAATTATATATTCAAAGGAATAAGTCGAAAGGAAAAATTATAGCTGATATAGGAATTACTCTAAGAATCAAAATGTTTGTAATCATATATCTTAAGTCCTGATGGTATTAATATTTAATCAGTTTTTTCTTAGGAACCAAAATATGAATAAGGTTAGACATCAACTTCATCAATTTATGTTGTTTTATTCTTAAAAATTATCTTGTTTTTTAATAAATTTACACCATCCAATGAAAGATGTAAATACATAGGTATTGATGCAAGATTATCTGCATATTTTTTACCAGTATTTTCATTTATGTACACATTTCCTTTTATAAGTTCTTAGATTGTCTCTCCATTTTGATATAATCCACCTCCTATTTATGCTTTATTCTATATAAGTTAACTATCTAAAATTAATATATGATTTTATTATTCTGAGTAATAATAGATAGCCCCTCCTATCTCTCTAGCTTAATTATTATTGAATAAGCATTATTCAATTAACATATTCAAATCTATAAAAAAGCATGCTCCCCCATAATCAGCTATATTATTTATAAATTGACTATTGCTAATCTTTAATTAGAGCTATTTATTTTAAATATTTTTAATTTTTTCAACTGAATTTTATAGAATTCGATTTTATTAATTCTCATTAAATATAAAATTAGAATTTTGCAACAATGATAAACAACCAATAACACCGCATGTATTATTTATTAGACTTATATTCTTCATTCTTAAATTAATTGAATTAGCATGTACATCCATTACGTTGAATACTCCAAAATAACATTTAAAACAAACAATATTTGAAATTAATAAATTCTCTATAATTAATTCTTGATAGTCATCTATGTTTTTTATCTCAAATAAACTTAAGTTATAATTGTTTTCTTTAAAAATCTATTTTTTATTGCAGATTAGTTAATTAGTATAATTGATTTTATTTAATTCTATTTAAGGATTTTAAACAATATCAGAAATATCATCAAAACATAATAAATCTTTTATTGCGATTATTTCCTCTTCTTGACAATCTTCAAATTGTGTTTGAATTTATGATAATTATTACAATGTGAAATCTTAAAGTAAAATCCTACCTATAAAACCTATAAAATATATACATTTAAATAATACCTTCTCTTAATGAAATTCTTATAACTGGAGATAAAAAATAAGTACTATTTGAAATTTATATATTATTCAAGTTTATAATGTATCCATTATATATCTCCAAAATGCTAGCAATATGAAATTACATAAATGAACAATTGAGCATTGTAAAATTACAATATTGAACATATATAGTGGGATTTTCTCTTTAAAATGGCTTAACATCTTATGAAGAAATATCTTATAGTTAGGATATATAATAATTGAATCCATTTTCACTATTTATCAATAAAGAGTTTTTAATTTAAAAGTTTGAATATACAGAGCTTTATCTACTAGGAGAAAAAGTAAGAATAGAATTTTAAATTGAGAAGGATTCTTATANTCTGCATATTTTTTACCAGTATTTTCATTTATGTACACATTTCCTTTTATAAGTTCTTAGATTGTCTCTCCATTTTGATATAATCCACCTCCTATTTATGCTTTATTCTATATAAGTTAACTATCTAAAATTAATATATGATTTTATTATTCTGAGTAATAATAGATAGCCCCTCCTATCTCTCTAGCTTAATTATTATTGAATAAGCATTATTCAATTAACATATTCAAATCTATAAAAAAGCATGCTCCCCCATAATCAGCTATATTATTTATAAATTGACTATTGCTAATCTTTAATTAGAGCTATTTATTTTAAATATTTTTAATTTTTTCAACTGAATTTTATAGAATTCGATTTTATTAATTCTCATTAAATATAAAATTAGAATTTTGCAACAATGATAAACAACCAATAACACCGCATGTATTATTTATTAGACTTATATTCTTCATTCTTAAATTAATTGAATTAGCATGTACATCCATTACGTTGAATACTCCAAAATAACATTTAAAACAAACAATATTTGAAATTAATAAATTCTCTATAATTAATTCTTGATAGTCATCTATGTTTTTTATCTCAAATAAACTTAAGTTATAATTGTTTTCTTTAAAAATCTATTTTTTATTGCAGATTAGTTAATTAGTATAATTGATTTTATTTAATTCTATTTAAGGATTTTAAACAATATCAGAAATATCATCAAAACATAATAAATCTTTTATTGCGATTATTTCCTCTTCTTGACAATCTTCAAATTGTGTTTGAATTTATGATAATTATTACAATGTGAAATCTTAAAGTAAAATCCTACCTATAAAACCTATAAAATATATACATTTAAATAATACCTTCTCTTAATGAAATTCTTATAACTGGAGATAAAAAATAAGTACTATTTGAAATTTATATATTATTCAAGTTTATAATGTATCCATTATATATCTCCAAAATGCTAGCAATATGAAATTACATAAATGAACAATTGAGCATTGTAAAATTACAATATTGAACATATATAGTGGGATTTTCTCTTTAAAATGGCTTAACATCTTATGAAGAAATATCTTATAGTTAGGATATATAATAATTGAATCCATTTTCACTATTTATCAATAAAGAGTTTTTAATTTAAAAGTTTGAATATACAGAGCTTTATCTACTAGGAGAAAAAGTAAGAATAGAATTTTAAATTGAGAAGGATTCTTATATTGTTAAGTAATCTAAATTAATTTCATTTTTAAGAAATGAAGGTTCTATGTACAACAGTCCAGCTTAGGTTCTTGAGGATGTAAATTAAAATATTGAATTATGAATATAAAGTTTGAAACGACTTTTTGAAGAATCAATATAAAGGCACCCACCTACAGATATCTAATATCCATTAATTGTAGTCGAAGTATTTACAAATTTTGAATTACTTATTTCTATTGAACCTTCTTAAGATGTGATAATATAAAAGGCTCCTCCATTTTAGGCCAAAGATTATTCAACTTCAATTTACTCTAGAATCATAGAATTTATTAAAAGGTAGGCATTTCCACCAGATGATAATACTTAAAAATTAAGTATAATATTAGTAGAGACATCAGTGTCTATTTTTGAGACAAATAAGTATTTCTGGAAAACATTGGGATTTATTTAATTTTATTTAGTAAAGAAACTATTTTTAATACTAAGATTATTAGTTTTAATGAATAAATTTGAATCAGTAGAATTAGAAATTATATTTTGATCAAAAAAGCAATTTGATATTAATACATTTCCTGATTGGGCATAAATAACTAAAGTTGAGGATGAAAATAATTAATAATCTTGGAAATATTCATTCAAATAGTTCTATGTAAAATTTGTATTTACTATACTGATATTAATTAATTGCTCTGTTTTTATGGCTATTATTGAAGTAAATTTATTTTATTAAGTTATTATCAATATATTATTAAAAAATCTTGAATTTTTTATTATAAAACTATTTTCTACCTATTCATCTAATTAATTTTAGCTAGCAAACAAGAAAAATGGATTATCAAAAATTACAGATTAAAATATAATTACATTATCCATTTCAACTTGATTGAAAGAATTTAGGTAGAATGCATAATATATATCTAAATATAAGAATTGTTCAATGCATTTATAAGACGAATGTAAAGTCTTTGTAATAAATTATGGGCTTTATTAAATTAAAATATTTGAAAATTTTAAAGATTTACTTCTAAAAATAGCAATTTCTGGATACCCTAAACCTCTAAATATTTCTACATTATTAAGGATACATACTTAACATTCTAAGTAGATTAAGGATTCATCATTAATCAAAGATTTAATTTAATTAGATCCTTTTAAAATATTATAATATCTATTGTTTCTTAAGATTAAACCATCAATATTAAGTGAATTATTTAAAAGTTCATTCTAAAATATAGTAATAAAACATTAAGAATTATAATAAATGTTATCAATAAAGCTAGCATTTTTTATCCTAATAGATTCAGCATTTCTTAATGATTCAGTTGTTTTTGAAGAAGTACCTTTATTTGTTATTAAATAGCCAGAATATATAATTATATCAATAGCTAAAAAGTCTTCAATATGAATTATATTTGATAATAAGAATGATGAATCATCTAAGAAAATGATATTTTTTAAAGTGAAATTTTTAATGGAACACTTACCAACACCCATAAGATTCATAATTTAAGATGAATTCATCAATGTTATATTTTGGAAATATAAATTTTCTAGTAAAATCTATCCTATATTATATTGCATCTAGAATGATGTATTAATAAATTAGGATCCTGCTCTAAAAGTAAGGTTAGAAGCATAAATATTTGTAATAGATATTTTATAATTAGGAGTGAAAATAAGTGATTCAAAATAAAAGATACTTGATTAAGTGAAATTAGAATTAATGAATACTAAATTATGAGCATTAAATACTGAATTTTTTGTACTTTATTAAGTTTGAAAATCTAATAATTTAGAATCTGTCAAATTTAAATCTAGGAATGTAATATTATCAAATAAAATATTTAGAGAATTATTGCTCATTATTGATAATGAAGTTAATCCTTAATTATTTTTACTTAATATTTATGAATCACTTAATTTAAAAGTAATTGGATTATGTGAATTAATAATATTAAATTTACAATTAATCTTATATTAATTTGTACCAGGATGACTTAAAGTTGATGTTGCTAATAATCCAACATTTTAAAAATGAATATAATCAAAATCTATAATACTATAACTTGATTAAGTAAGTAAATTAATTAATTATTCACCTATTAGTTTAATTCTAGCTGTTTTAATTGTAAATATTTAAGAAGAAAAAGGATTTTTAATTTTGACAGGTTATGCTTCCCATTAATAGCAACTTCCAGTATATTTTGGGTGTGTTTTTATTAAATTAATATAATTGATTTCTACAATTGATTATTCATTAATGAAATTATAGAGATAATCATCTAATATAATATCAAAAACAGTAAATTAGTAATATGTTTTATATTAATTCCTAAAATTAGGGCGTTAATCTTTAAAGTAGTCAAAATAATAATAACTTTAATCACAATAAACTAATTAATTAAAAGTCAATATTTTGATGCATTTGTCATACTTTTAACATTTATAAGGTGTTTTAAAGTAAGGATGAAAATTAATATAATTCTTATATTAGATATTATATTTCAGATCTTAATCAGATTATTGCAATTGCTGATCAAAACTATAACATTAATGAGTGTATTTTGAAGAACTAGTTATAAAAGGATTTAATTAATTTATTTATGATAGATTTCTTGTTTGACAAGCTTTACAAAATACAACACATTCTTGACAAATTGTTAAATCATTTTAATTAATACTTTTCTATTGATTATATAAAGCATTATTGCATTAAAAACATTGAGAATATTAGGAATTGAAATTAGAAAGTATTTAACAATTATTACAATCTTATCCACAATTATTAAAACATCCATTCTTATATAAAAAACTATCAGAAAAACAACTTGTACAAACAATTTCAAAATCTTTTGTTTCAAAATTTAAACCATATTATTCAAAAAAATGATCACCATTTTAATTTACAAAGTAATTATAAAATGCTTTAATATCCCATTTCCAAAAATCTTAATGATTGGTATTCTATTATTAACAAGTCTTACAAGTGAGAGGACATTATTTACATTATCCAGTAGTAATTGAAGAATAATATCCATCACTACATTAAATACAAAAGCCATCAGCATTTATATAATTAAGAATACATTATTCACAAAATGATAAAGAATTGCATTGTGTTTATTGTATTCCTTTTAAAGGATATAGACTTTTAATGCATATGGCTATATCAGAATCTTGAGTTATAATACCAAAAGAACATTCAATTTAATCAATAGGTCTTTATTCACATGTATTAGTATAAAAATTAAAAAACATATTATAATTACATTATGCACATCCAATTTTAATAAATTCTTATTGAATATTTTCCATAAATGGATTATAATCTAATGTTGTATAATATTAACCATCTGATTAATAATATTAAAAACAATATTAACAATTTTTTATATTACAAATGGCACAATTTAATTTATCAAATGTAATAAAGTAATCTTAATTATTTATACAATATAGACATTTTGATTAAAGGCATTTTCCACAATATTAACCACAATCATAACATTATTTATTTGACCAATATTAATTACTTAAACAATCATCTTCATATAAACAAACTTCTTTATTATCTTCAAGCATACAATTATGACATGTTTAGCATTTCTCACAATAACCATCTTTTCTTAATGTATAACCAATAAAACAATATCTGCAACTCGAACCCATTATACACAATTCACAACCTTCTAAGCATTTTTTACATTTTCCATCAAAATCTTTGTAATAACCATATTTACACCCATAAAGGAATTCCCCTTCAAAAAGTTTAAGTTAATTATTCCCAAATTCATCTTTAACTATTTTAAATACTTCTTCATATTAAGATCCTCTTATAACTTATTTATAAGCAAATTTTCTTTATTCATCCAAAACCTTTAAATCATAAACACATACTAAAGTAGATGAAAATTTTTCAGGATTAAGTATGCAATCTCCACATTCAATAATTTCATCTAATAACTCTTAATTCATCCTTGGACACATGAGACATTCATTACCAATTTAAAAATAACCATAATCGCATTAAATATTATCTTCATCACAAGTAAAATATCCAACTTTATCACATTTTCTCTCAAATTCATCGACTACCATATTTCCCATTATTTCTTCCATTGCTTTATAATCTCAAATTTATATACTTAAACAATTCTCATTGTCTTTTATTTCTATGTAACCATAAGCACATTGACATCTTTTTTATTCTTTTGAATACAATCTATGACTTTCACTGTTACAACTTAAGCAATTTTAAGGTGAAATACCATCACATGTTTTACAAGAAAAATGACATTTTATTTTAAATTATACATCTACTGGATCACAATATTTAGAGAAAGACCAGTCACTTAAAAATCCAGAAAATAAATTAGAAACAAAATCATCACCACCTATAAATAAATTAAATTTGCTATTTGTAAATTGATTAATTTATTTATTCCATTTCCATTGTTATTTCAAATTTAAAAATGCAAAATATATTGTAAACAATGGTTATCCTTCATTATTTTTTGTTCCAATTTCATACTAAAAATAATGCCATTATATTATTGCTTCACTATATTGTTTTCCAATTATAGTTATTTTATCTAAATCATCATTTTAATAAGTCTCCTCTATTATTGGGAATTTATAACTATTTATAGATACTGTAAGTCCATTCTCATCTTAAATGATGTTTTAATGATATACTATATATATTAATCGATCTCCATACTATTTCTCATTAAAATATTGATAACGAGTTGTTATTCTTAATAGTACGGTGTCCAACTATTAGATTGACTCAATTTTATTTAACTTTACCCATCCTTATATAACATATCCTATTTTTTTAATCGAATTTTATATTGTTCCTTATATAATCTTATTCTTTTTTAATTCTTAATTATAACCAACTAGGGGAAAATAACCTGGTTGGCATGAATAAGATATTGGACAATCAATTAAAAATTAGTCAATATTCGTGAATATATTATAAAAAAATGTGACAAATATATATCCCAACTTTCCAGGAAAATATCTAAATCTTACTAATTCAGACCCTTAAAAAATCTAAAAAGTTCCAAAATTTCTTTAAAATATCCTTTACCCATATTATATTGATCCAATTTATTATTAAGAAAATGTTACTCTTGTTCTATAATTTAAAACATAAATGTTTATTTAGTTGGTTTCTTTATCATCAAAATAGTATAATAGATGCCAATCACCTTCAAAATTCTAAGTATCTAATGGACAATCAAAAACTTAAGATTGTGATTCATATTAAATTACTCCTTTTAATTTAATTTTTTATTAATCTGCATCTATATCTAAATAAAATATAATCGAATATTCAGTAGATTCACTGTTTTCCACAATGTATAATAGGTAATTTACTTATTTTGTATTAAAAGATTATGATGCTAAATATGACAACTAAATTCATACTCAAGGAATCAGAATTTGGTAAATAATTAAACCAAAATCCTACTCCTAATTTATCCCAAAATTAAAACATTGATATATCAATCGCCATCCAATCTATATTGGAATCCATAACAAAGTCCCAGTAATTAATATTGTCATAATATGGACAAGATGTAGAGATTAATCTATCATTTTTATACATCTTTACTTCAATAGTACTAAACAATTGATTAGAAATAAAATCATAAGATAAATTTATTATCTAAAATATTTACTTTTTCTAAGTTTAAAGAATATAAATAATGGAAATTCTTAAATAAATATTTTATCTTATTTACAACACGATTATGAAAGCTTACATTATTTTCAATTTAATTATGTTTGCTCTTTAAATATACTAAATATTAGAAAAATTTCAATTAATTTTAAAGAAGAAATTAAAAATGAGAAAAGATTTGCTTATCGTGGCAATTACATATGTAAGTAAGGTTAAATGGCCACACATATTTTATATAATAAATTATCAAAATTATATGTAATGATTTTAAGGAATCAATCAGGAATTTACTTCTAAAAATATTAGGAAATGGTATTCATTTTATTTTAGAATGAATTTAAAAAAAATAGATAATATTTATTTTTTTGTATTAAACATTAATCAACCTCCTAAAAGAAAGTTTGCTGCTTATTCTTCATCATATCCAAATCTGAGAAGAGCTTCCTAATACATTTAATTATAATTCTTACCCTAACTTTGCCTACTTCAAAACCTAAATTGACTAAATTTTACACCTTCTCCTCTTACTTATTTTTTGAAGCATAATTTTATGTCCATTCTCTATAAAATTATCAAATTTCATACTTTGCTGTTTTAACATATAAATCTTTTTAAGTTTTGAATTAATTAGCTACTACAGCATCTTAAGGGGAATCTAATTTAAGTATTAGAAAATTTATTACCTGGTTATGGATCACACAACAATGCTTAAAGTGACAGCAAAGCTGTACGTATTGAAAGTGCAGGTGACCACTCATCCTTTAATATATCCAAACAAATAGCTCCTGTTTAGCTAGATATAGTGATTAAAATTACGAAGAGATATTAGGATGCCAAATACGAGTGTCAAACTTCATTTTTGGAGGTTTGTATGGATATTCTTGAGGAATCACAATGTCTACCTAAAAGTAACCATTAGCATATGGAGTATCGGATGGTCCATTTATAAACCCCTTCCAATGAGTGATATTTTAATCAACTAACAAAATTGAAATTCCAGAATCTTCTCCCTTAAATAAATAATTACATAAATAATACTTTTTTTTATCTCTCATTAAAGTCCTGCAATTCTTTATTCAATCGATTAGCTTAAGTTTTTTACATTAAATTAATTAAATAATAATTAATATAATGATAAGAAATCCATTTAATTAATAGAAAAACTCATTTTTTTAAGAATATGATAGACGTAGTAAAATAATTTTTGCTTTATAACTTCTTAATTATACTAGAATATTTATCATACTTTAGAGAATTAAATGTTATTCTGTAAATTTTTATTTTGATTAAAATTATTATTTGAATGCATTTTCAACATTATTCTAACATACTATTGATTTTAGGGATGATTCAACTATTTACTACTTGTTTAAATCACTATAATATTATATTTTAAAAAAAAAATAATATTAATTTAAATCTCCTTTAACTAAATTAGAGACTCAAATGAAGATTTAATCAAACAGAATTCTTTTTATGTTATATATTTATAATTATTTTATCAAGATTCTAAAAAAGAAGGATTAAATTTCTGTTTATAATACATCTTTTTATAGTATATAATAATATAAAAGTCATCTAAATTTATCTTTATTTAATTAAAATGTCTATTGAATACGTGCTTTTAGTTAAACAATAATAAGTTTGCCTATTTAAGATTCCACCAGTCAGCAGTAGCAAGGGTTATTATTTAGATGACTGGAAAGAGATGTTTTGGGAAGGTAAATTAAAGCTTATAATTAACAGGGGGAATCAAATTAACGGAAAAAGGAGGTTAGTTGACTTTATATTTTATTGACAAAAATACTTCAGCTGTACAGACCTTTGTAAATTTCCCAGATAATCCTTACTAAGCTATTGAAAAAACAGTGGATAGTTAAAGGTAAATGAATAATAATATATTTTTAGAGGATATGCAATTAGATTAGTAACACCAACAGGAGGTCATCAATGGGTCGGTTGTGTCTTTAGAGATAGAAATGATGCTTTTGATTTCAATGAGAAGATATTAAAATTCATTTCAGATAGAGAAATGGAAAGAAATCCAGAGAAATTTAAAAATGAATTTCAACCTTAATAAGATTTTAGTTTAAAGTAAGGATAGAAAATATAGATATCTTTGGGAGATGGAAATCAATAAATGAAATAAAATTAGTAGAAAGGATCAACTAATTTATCTGAATTTAAATTTGCACCTCCACCTGATGCAAGTGATTTTGGTTAATTTTCATAACCAGCTCAATAATCTTAAGCATAATCAATATAGAATAGTTGGGGTAATTTTGATTTTAACTCTTGGAATCAACCAAGTGTACCATAATAGAATGCATTTTAATAGACCCCTCAACAATAATAATTTGGATTTGCTTAACAGGCATAAGCATAGCCTTAATAATAATTTAACCTTTAAGCATAGGTATTTACTAACTAATCATAACCATAATAATAAAATTAAGCCAAAACAAAAGAATTGAATTTATTAGATTTATGAATGCACATAATTAAACATAATTATTCTTATATCATTCTATAATTTCCATTTCCTATCCAATTTCTGATAATTCTTATTTTTCAATATCAAACTAATATTTTCTAAGAGCAGCTAAACAAAATGTATATCATTTAATACGTGTATTATTGATTGGGAAATCATAAGGAATTTGCCTTTAGTATGATTTAGCATTGTATTATCTAATATTTCTTTTATAATCAGCACCATCCTTTGTAATGGCAACAACATCTACATTACTTCCAGATCTAGATAAACAATAGAAATATCAATTTACCCCATATCATGGAATATACCAGCTTCAATGGCTTCAATAGCAAGATCAATAGCTTACTATTTGGTAAGTCCATCCTAAAACTTGGCTTCTAAAATACCCAAAGCAGCAAGTGATCCACTTCCCATAGATTGGAAGGGATGATAAACATAACTATGTTAATATTTATGATTTACTTTCCATGAGGAGATACTGAAGCTAATTAAGGTCCATTACAATCAATTCCTCCAATAATCAAAGCAACTCCAATATTACCTCTATATGGAAAGAGCTTAGAAGTAAGTTTAGTGATGACTTCATTAACCCTACTTTATCTGTTTAAATTGAGTCTTTAAAGTTTAAGCTTAGCATTAAAATGAGCACATTGATGATGTAAATCAGCAGCTGTACCAGCTCCAGCAGCCCAGATATTCGGAGCTAGAACGTGTAATTTCTCACAGTTTTTATCAGCAACTATAGATCCTGCCGTAGCTCTTGTATCAGCAGCCATTACAACTCCACCGTCAAATAGAACTCCTACAATAGTTGTTCCTGTTTTTGTGAATGGCATTTCTTTAAACCCTTATGCTCTCATTAATTCATTTCTTATACAATAATATCATGTGTTACCTTGTCACATTTGTATAATCATAGCCACCTTTCATTTGAAGATAATTGTCCAAGTATTACATATTTATTATATTTAAATTTAATTATCATTCAGATTGGGATAATGGAAGAACAATTATAATAAATATTCAATTCCAAATACAAAAATAAGACTCTCTACAATCATTTTTGTGAATTGTATTATCAGATGCAAGAGAATAAATATTATAATGCATAAAGTATATGAATCTTTTAATTTTTATAGATTTAGCCGATTTTGAAGATTTGAGTAATTTTATTAAAGAGAATAGATTTTATCATATTCCACTCAAATCAGCTGATGATGTTAATAATTATAAAGATAATACTTTTCCATGGTAAGAATATAGTGCAAAATTAATGTAACTTATTCAATTCAAAGTTCAATAAGTTAATGCCAATATATAGAATTTTTTAAAATTAAATACTTTATTGAATATTGTTGGGTATGGTTTCAATGATGAAGATGCTTACATAATATAACAATGTCTCAAACAAATTGCATAGAGAGATCCAAATATTTAAAGCGCTCGTTTTTGGGGAAAAATACTAGCATAACAAAAGGATTACTTTGTTATTGAAGTTACATTAAATAAATAAATAAAAGAACCATAGCCTCCTGATTGTGATGAAAAACTTAATGAATATGTTCATTATGTTACTTAAGATTGTAATACATATAGCTTAATAAATTAGTATTGGATGATTGGGCTTTGTTGCCATAAATAACACGTAGATAAATGGAAGCATCTAGGTATATCACTAATGTTTTCAGTGGAAATTTAAATAAAAATATCATTTAATATCCATATTTTGAAGGAAAAGAAAAACATTTATTAAAAGCATAAATATTAAGAATAACACATGCTAATCTATTAGCTCCTAGAGGCTTGTATAAATATGAAGATGAAACAAAAACATTAGGTTTTGAAGATGAATTTAAGATGCCTGAATCAGCTGAATTGGCAACCATGGACGCATGGGTTCATTTGCCTGCATATATTTTAAAATAAGGAAGAATAACATTCTATGAAGATCCTTCTTTAAAAGAAGAAGAATTGAATTAAATGAAAGAAACTGATCCTGAATAAGAGAGATTAAAATCTATTAAAGATGATAAACGTAATAATTGATTTTAATTATACAGCATTTGAATAGAATGAAGGAAACTGGTTGATCAAGGTTTTTGGAGAAACACAGCAATATACAAATTAAGAAGAATAAGCACTAAGTTATTAAGTAGTTTTGTTAAGAAATTATTTGTGGCCTGGTGCAGTGACTATTAGCAATGTATTTAACTAATTGTATAATATTTAAGTCAAATGAATACTTAAGTGTTTATTTTGGATATGGATTAAAGAATCAATAACATTCTTTTAATCCTTTATCTCCAAAAGATGTACAAGATGACCCTGAAGACATTGATGAAGTTCCAGAACCAAATCCTAGGGAATAGCCAGATGAATTGGAACCAGATAGTGATGATGAAAGAAGAAGAGAATAGGAAAGAAGGGAAGCTGAATTGCAATAGTAATAAGAATGATATATTTATAATATATTTTTGTGTTTTATTTAAAAAAGCTCTTGGATTAAATGTTCTTTCACTAACTTTGTTGTTGTTGTTATTATTATTATTGTTGTTGTTATTATATTTATTATTATACTTATATTTATTCTTCTTGTTTTCCAAAGTTCATAATATAAAAATGTTCATTGCGTCTAAAAAATAATTAATAATTACTTAAGCCCAATGTTTCCTCCTAAAATCCATAATTATTCACCATTATAGATATCGGCAGCATGGAAATATCTTGGAGATGGCATTTAACCATATTAAGTAGGTGTAATCCATGTATTTGTTATGAAATCAAATAAATGTAGATCATTCAATCTATTAGATTTGCTATTTCTACCACCAAAAATGCAAATTTTTGATTTAATCAAATTGGTTGTATGTCCATATCTAGGTTCTGGAGCAACACCTTAAGTTTGAATCTATTACCATTAAACATTTTCAAAGTTCAACATCCATATATCATTAAAATATTCATCTTAATTCTTTCCGCAAAAAATGTACATTTTCTCATTAACTTAAATGGCAGTATGTCCATATCTTGGTTATGGTTAATTATTTATGTTCAATTTAACCCATTACATATTCTAAATATTCATATAATAGACATCATTGTATATTAATTCAACTTCAAGATCAGGTGATAAATAATATCCACCAAATAGTATTACAAGTTCTTCTTATGCATAAAATGTTAAACTAGCTCTTTCTCTCTCCGTCCATTTCTTATCAGTTTTTGCCAAATACCAAGTTTTAGCTGATGTCACATATACAAAATGATCATTTAATATATTATGTTCATCGACACCACCAAAAAATAATATTTTATCACCATATGCTAATGCATTGTGGTAAGCTCTTGGTCTAGGTATTTCTCCATCAGTTTCTTCTAAATTCAATTAATGATCTCCAAAAGTTAATTTATACATTTCATTTCTACTAGGTGCCCCACCAAAAATGTAAAATGAATTTCCAATACTTGTCATTGTATGTCCATAAATGTGATCAAATGTATGATACAACAAGTCATGCTTTGTCCAATAAACATTACTGAAATCTAGTTCTTATGATTCTGTTTTATTTATTAAAACAACCATTATATTATTTTTCTTTCCAAATGAATTCTCTATGGTTGGTTAGCAACTATCATGAAAATATTGACTTCCCCTTTTAAATATAAATTCATAGCGTCCTTCTTGTAAATCTATATATGTATAATATTCATGGCATAGTTTGAATTAATTATATCGCTTTTATAATTTGATTGGTTAACTCCAATTATCCCATGATCCAATCACTTCATCAGCTACCTCAAATAGTCTTATTAAAGGTTTTGCATTTGATTCAAAGATTTAATATGCTCTTTTAGGAAGCACTTAAATCTGTAATCATTATAACTTTTACCATATTATTGTATGATCCATGATTGTCATTAACAATCTCTTGATTCTATTGATATCTCCATTAATTATCTACTAAGAACTTATATTCATATTATCCAACTGCCAAATTTAAAGTGCATTTATTTCCAATTAATTTGGTCCCTACTTAGAAAAGATTCCATGATCCAAATATTAATACCTCTTTACCTTCATTAGGCCTATTCAATATTCACAATAATACCAAACAAATTTAACTGGTTGAGCAGCACAGGGTTATCTAGGATGTATATTTCCACAATCTTAACATCGATTCATATTAATATTAATTTAATTATATAAATATATAAAATCAAATAGACTGCCAAAAATTTTATCTTAATTTCAAATAATTTATTTAAATTTAGGCTAATCTATTTATCATTAAGAGATATAATTAATATCTTTCCTTAAAATAACTAAATAATAAACTTTATTTACTTATCAATATAATAATTTGCATATGAATTTACTAGAATGCTCCATATTGATGAAACAGATTGAAATTGAATTTTAGAAGTATTTAATTCTTCTTAATTAAGTTTTTAACTCATAATTTTCTATTCTAATTTATTTTTCTATTATTCAATATCTTTAATATAATTCATGCAATAAGACAAAGCACTAACTTCCCTCTATTCTGTTACAAAATAATCATAAACATCATTCATTGTATCAATTTACATTTACAATCCTCTATCGATAGAATTTGATTTCCTTCTTTAAATAACTTCCTCTGATTATAAATTAAGATGAAGCAAATGCAACTCTGGAAGAATATATTAAGAGAGGTAATTAACATTTTTAGAATGTTATTCAAATAGTTTTTTAATATCTTAAAAATCGTTAACTTTTATTTATTCTAATTTAGACATTAGAAGTGAAAAATCATTACATTTTTATCTTTACTATTCATTCACTGATTCTTTAGTTTCAAATTCTTCAAAATTCTATTTATACCTTAAATCAATTTATTCAATATTAGTTAATTGAGTCATCTCCTTCAATTTATTTTATACATAATCTATTTCTTAATTACTATCCTTATTTGTTTTTGTTATAAAAACATTGAATTCTACTGTTTATGCAAAATAAGTTATCTTGGATAATTTTATCAAAAAGTATTCAATTGCCTTTCTAATATTCTCTATGTGTTCACTTGAATAATCTTCAAAAGTTGATTTATTCATCAATTATGGTATATACACTCCAGGCCTAAACTTTTATTATTCTGCTTATTATACCATTTTAATTGCAATATTTATCTTAATGAAAATACATCTTAAAATCTTCTTATGACTTCTTGCACTGTATTATCTACTATACGAAATTAAACAAATTTATTAGTTAGTGTATAATTTATGGATCACACACTCTATATTACTTACCAACATATTCAAACTTGCTGCTTTTTTAATTACTTTCATTTTAAGATAAATATAATTGATATAACTATGATTAATATTAGGTTTATTGCTCAACCAATGGAATTAATTGCCATTCCAAAAATTATAATTAATATTTATATCCTCCACCTATAGCACCTAATTAGTAGTTTTATTCCACTTTAAATTCCTTCTTCTCTCCATCCTTTTATCTAATTTAAATTTATTATTTATTCGTCTATATATCTAATCGATTTATGCCAATCTCATTTTAATACCATGTCAACTAAATTATGTATGTATTCACTGTTATCTAAAACTAATTTTTATTAATTTACTCCAAACATTTTTGATGATCTATAATATAATAACAATTATACCAATGTTCTTTACATTTTATGATAGATTGAGAACGAAATGAATATTAATAATTTTGAATCCCAAATATCCCTTAATTTGTAAAAAAGATCTTAACAGTATGAATCTTATAAGGGATTAATGTTTAAAGGTCAATTGAGTCAACGAAATATTTAAGATCACGTTATTTGATACCCAAAATTATAGATTCCATATAATTTATATTAATGATCTTAATAATAAAACTCAATATTCATATTCTCAAATTAGATAATACATTGAGTTATTACTCAGAACTAATTGTTTCTTTTGTTGAAAAACCTAAAAATCTTTTTCAAAATTACTTATAAATAGAAAGATATATTAAATAGATAAATGTATATTTTCTTTTTTATTTGTTATATGAAAAATATCATGGCAATTTTTTTAGGAAATTAGCTTTAGGTGCTTCTAAAGGATGCTAGTTATATCTAATTTTTGGTTATTCTTATTCCTATTATGTTGATTATTATTATTAAATTTATGGAGAGGTTGGTTATAATTGTTAAATAGTTGGTGAATTTTAAGAAGTCTTTTAGTATTATTATTAGTATTATTATTATTATTATTATTATTATTATTATTATTATTATTATTATTATTATTATTATTATTATTACTATTATTCTCTTGGAGTTTATTAAATTATAGATATTTGCTATTATTAAGAAGACATTGGATATTATTATGTATTATTGGATTACACTTAAGCTTGAGATTGAACTACTTCTCTGGACAGAGTTTCAGAACCTAATTAAACTTAATTTCCACTTGTCTTTTAAACATTAACATTAGGGCTAGTTGTCAAAGGGTTTTTCTTATCAAATATAACTACTTTTTTTTAAACAATATTTCCTTATTAATTTTAAATAGATTAAGGTTAATAATATAATGATTGAAGAACAGATAAGGAATTAATTTTTTGATTTGGCTCAATTTTCCCATCATTCTCAGCGAATTTAATAAGTTCCTGAGCCTGTAGATCATAAAGCTAAAATACTCTTGCATACTTCACCAAGATATTCTTAATCTCTTATTTATCTACTCTATTTTTTAATATTTTATATTACTTAAAATTTATCATATTGAGTGTTAGAGTCAATAAATTAGAATATATTACGTTTTTATCCTTAAATATTTACTCATTTGAAAACTAAACTGCCTCTTTCATTGCAGATTTATCTATTTCTGACTCAATTGTTGTATAAATTAATCCCTCCCATAAATCAATTTACCTCCAAATTTGCATAGAAATTAGACTATCTTATAAGAAAAATCGTTTTTCATGTTCATCTATTGTGTAGATTGTTGATATCATAGTAATAATCCTTTTAACTAAAATTAATTCGCCCTCTTTTTATGATATCTCTAATAGTTTTTAAGTGAATAAATGCATATTTTTGAATCCATGAGAACTTAAATTGGAGCACCTAAAGAGAAAGTAATCTATTATTTTACCCTGCTTATCGAAATGATTCAAGGATGATGCATCCTAATTCTCTGAAGAATTTTTGATCAAAAATTTCATCTAAATTTTTCTTTTGTAATTCAGGTATATTCTTCCAACCTTTTATTTATTACTCTTAAGTCTATTATATCACATGTTTTATAAAACAATAAATGCTTATAAGCTATTATTCACCATATTATTCTTTATATTTATTTACCATTTATTGAACCCCAGCTGGTTATTCCTCTGCATTTTTTGGTTTATTTTTGTTATTTACTTTCCCAATTAATTTGATTGTTACTCCTTTCAAATCATCAATAAATTCCTAATTCACTAAGAAGATATCAAAGGAATCTATATTTTCTACTTAAGCCGAAGAAGCAGTAGTTTCTCTTCTAATATTTAATCTATGATTAAGAGAGATTTAATCTGCTATACTCCTTAAAAATGAAGAATTTAATTAAGAATTAACTTTTAAATAATTCTCTTTAGAAATTCCTATTTAACTTGAGGGACCTGGTGCAATAGGGTCATTTTAGGGATCCAAATAAATTTCTGCCTGCTTAAAGAATTATTCGCTATCATATTAAAGATTCCTAGTTTTGGATATCTCATAAACTAATATCTTCATTACAATATCCTAATTAAAATATTAATATACTTTAGCTATTGAAAATATTTGATTATATGATGTAGTCAGCTATTAAATGCCATTCTATAAAGAAGTGCAATATGATTGAACAGCTTAATTATAAATTGATGCAGCTTATCTTAAAGCAGATTCATTCTCTTATTTGTATTATAATTATGAATTTAGTCTATGTTATGCTTTTGATCTCTATTCTAGGTTGCATTCTTTGTTCCAACACAATGCCTCTAATGTAATAGCTGACTCCTCATATTCTTTTGAGGCTCTTACTGTCTTCTCTTTCTAACGATCATACTTATCACAAGATATTTTGATTTCTTTATCCATTTTTAATACATCTTGAATCAAAGGTTTGAATTAACTTTGGATTTATCTAAGCTCATTGATCGCTTACTCTACATCATGCTTGTACGATTAATTGAATTGCTTAGTTACAAATACCCACATACCTTATAGTACTGGGCCCTTTAATTCAGATCTACCTTCACTCCCCTCACTAAATCATCAATGTCTCCTCCACAATTTTGCATTTATCCACTTATTTTCTCCAAAGCCTTGTGATACTTTTCTTCAGCTTCAGATCGCTCGAAAAGCTGTCCCAACATAACTTCTGTTACTTTGCTTCTGTCATTTACTCTTCGATAGAGAACATCGAAATTTGTAGCTAATTATTTAATATTCATTATTATTTATAAGTTATTCCATTAAATTAATTAAATATATCGAATCAATTTAATGTATTATTAAAAAGAGAAATCTTATAGAAAATTAATAAAAACTATATAGTTTATATAACATAAAAATAATATAATGAATTTTATATATAAAGAGTTAACATTTTAAGAGAAGAATTTCTTGAAAAATAGAAAATACAAACAAAATTCATCATTGAATTTGAAGAACTTAAAAGAAAAGAAACTATCACTTTATCGAAATTATATAGATTAATATCACAATGAGGATATCAAAAGTTTTCTTTTTTACAATAAATCTTGGAAATCGCTTTTCATTTTATACAAATATTCTCATTTTTTATAATTTTTATATTAAAATATTCGAAAATAGGGGATGTGCATAAAATCTAAATTTCTCTGGTTTCTCCATTGTAAACAAAAATATCAAATTCTTAAAAATGTAAATTAAAAAATTCTAATATTTTGGAGTATATTTTTATTGATATTAATAAATGCCAATATTAAATATTGTTTCATGCCAAACTTTTGATTATTAATTTTTATTCATTTAAAATTTCCACTTTTAAATAATTTTCGCACTATTTGCAAAATTGAGGCCAAAAATCTACTTATATGGTATTGTCTTATATTTTTATCTTATTGTTTTATATCTTTGAAGGATTTTAACATACATTTTGTGCAACATTCGAAACTCTTGAAATAATTTAAATAGGAACAAATATATCAAAAATTCTTTAACTCAAATCTAGGCAATATTTTTTATCAAAAATAATCTTAATTAAAACTAAATGATGTGATTCTACATTTTATCCTAAATATAAAGGCTTAATGTTTTCAAGAATATTCAAATCAATTTTTAAATTAACTTCGCAATGATTATCTAATCCAATTTAATTTTATTATGTAAATTGTTAGTCTTCTTAAGTTTCAGTAAGTTTTTAATAATATTATTTTTATATTTGGGGATAGACAATTTTTTAATACAAAGTATATTACACTTTTGGGAATGGATGTTCTAAAATTTAACTTTATAATTTTATTTCTATTTTTTTAGCATCAATTTACTTAAATACAGTTTAATTTAATGTTAGAGTAATAGGAATGTTATAGTTATTCGATCTTTTTAGAAATAATTAATGCTAAATTTCTTATGATAAATTTTTTTTCTCATCATCAAAAAATAAGTCCTTTTCATTCATTATTTTTTATAACGATTCAAAATCGTACAGGGCATTGAATTAAATAGTATATTATTTTCTTAATATTTGATTATTTTTCTGATATAATAATTCTAACTCTTGCTGAGAATTAAACCATAAATTTTAATCTTTGTAATGTATTTATGTTAAATACTAACTTATAGGGATTTTCCATGTTAAAATAAATAGATTTTTGTCCTCTTTTCTAAATTTTGAAGGAATCAAACTTTAAAGTTGCGAATATTTGGTAAAGTTATCCTTTGTTATTAAATCTCTTACTGATTCTCTGCATTTAATCTATATTAATAAAAATATTCTACAATCGCTAGAAACGAATTCTTGTTCAAGTTCTAATCTGGACTTTTTATTTATGCACTCAGTTTCAAATATTATCTTATGTTTTTAGTATCATCTTTATATACGAAGATCTAACAATAAATTAGTTGTATTTCAATATTCATGTTTGATTTTATTTTTTAATACAAATATATTTTTTTTATAAAAAAAAATTCAAACTTAAATTTCTCAATTTGTATGAGGCTATTATTAACCATATAATAGAAATTGTTTGTGATATGGTCCATAACCATAATTTATTTCATAGCATGTCTTTATTTAATAAAGACCATAAAGACAAAAAGTAAAGCTTTTTTTTAAAAAAAACAGGAAAATTTAAGTTATCGATATGGGTGAAGTGTTAATATAATTTTGAAAATCAAAAGATTCCTTAATTGGCTATTTTGAAGTAAGATATGGATCTAAATAATATAACTTTTCATGTTTATTATTAAATACTGAAAATTGATATGTCAGTGGATTTCTAAAAGGGATGCCAAAAGTTGAACCCTTTTGATGTTTAATTTCTTTAGATGTTTAATTTCTTTAAGAAATTAATATTTTCAAATTAGCCTGATTGATAATCAATTTTTTTCAAAGATTAATTTAAATGATAGGTACATTTCCTTTATTTATATTTAATGATATAAAATACTGAGTTGAATTAGAGAAGAATGTAAGCCTGATAATAAATATCAAGCAATAGAATAAATTATAATTAAAAATCTTAATATAATATACAGCCAATCTAGATGATAACATTAAGTGCTAAAAATAATGATGAAATTTTGACAATAATCTTAGTATTAGATATTATAAAAAAAAAATTTGAGAAAATAAATTTTAGGAATTATACAAAACTATTTTATGTTGTAATTTAAAGTTCTTATATTTATATAAATGTTGTATAATTGAAGAAAATGACTTAACAAATTTCAGGATGAATTTCAAAATGCAGATAAAGTAAAAATGATTAGATTATTAATAATATATATGTCTAAATAAGATTGATAATTATGTATAGAACTAAATCTTAGAAATATTTTAATCAAATCTTTTTATATAAATTCAATATTTACCAAGTAATTTGATTTGTTTCGTCTATTCTTAAATCTTTGAATAAAATAATAATTTATACTTTTAAGATAATTTATATAATCTTCTGAATATATTATTTAATCATATTAATTAGTATCCATTTTTTTCATTTGAAAAATTGTCAACAAAATAAAATTTATTATCTATTTTCTAAAGATAATATTGAGTAGACTAATTGATACACAAACAGGTAAACCAGCATAAATTAGCCATTCATAATCCCAAAATAATTTAATAAATAAATATATTTTAATAGGATAGAAAGCAATAGAATAAACTTTGATCTAGTGTCTCATCAATATAATAGTAAATCTTTTATCAATGGCATAAATATGAGTAATTGTATATCTATCAAATATGTACATAAATATATTAAAGAAAAAGCAAATTAAAGTTATTAATGGACAAACATATATTAAACATAATCCTATTGTAATACTATAAAGAGCATTACAATTTCTACTTCTCTATGGGAAGAATGGAGGAGTTAAAATTTAATTTAATTATCCTTAAAAATATTACAAATAATTTTTGAGAGCTTTTCTTGATTTTAATAAAGATGAAATAAATCTAACATGGAACATATGAAATATATGCTTCGTAATTAATTTGTTTTAAGTTAGTGATATTAAATTATAGATTGCAGCTGGATTTTCTTTTCCATTCCATAACTCAAAAGTAAATAAATATGGAACAAATGTAACTAATAGATAATTTACAACAATTAAAAAATGCATAAAACCTCGTTCTTGATGAGCAAATGTATTTTTTTTAGCCTTTTTTTAATTAATGATAACAGCAAGAATAGCACTAGTTGTAATTATTGGAACAAGTATTGTAAAAATATTAGTAGCTGCTTTTTCTCCTTAAGTAAGTCTTCCAGTTTCTTTATTATTTTAAAATTCAGGGTCATTTACATAAAGATATATAAATTCATATGCTACCATTAAAATTGCGCATGCAAAGATCATAACCACGATTGATTTGCATTTTTATATAACTCTATCTATACTTTTAGTTCCTAGATTATTCCAAAACAAACCATTAATTCGAAATGATTTTTTAACAGCTATTTTATCATTTAATTTAGGATGAACAATAAATTTTAATTTAATTTTCAAATCTTCTAAAAATGTTCTTTTAAAATTAGAATGAACCAAATTAAAAACTTATTTATCAGTAAAATGAATAATTGCCTTCTTACTAAATTATAGTGAATCAATATTTCTTAATGAATCTATTGTTAATTAATTAAATTAAATATTTCCAGTTTCTTTTTATATTTTATTATTAATATCCTCAAGTAATGTTAAATTATTTTCTAATTTAGTTAAACAATTATTTTATTAAGCAAAATCTTTTTATAAACAATATTTTTAGTAATTCTACAGATTTTAGATAATTTCAATCAAAACTGCCTCTCTTATTGATGCAAACTTTATTAACTATTCAACATCATATATGTAAATTATTTCTTTAAACAATGGGTCTATTAATTTACTAAATTTATGATATTATTACTTAGATTAAATAGCAATTTCTTAGTTTGGATGTTTTTCAACGCATCTTTTGATTAAAGCAAATATTTCTTTAGGTGGCATTTTATGTTATAAATGTCTAACATAAATTGAATTCTTAGTTTCTGTTTGTCGATGACAAGGCTCTCTATTCCAATATTTAATTTCTCTAATTTCACTTAAATACATTACATATATGATATTAAGAAGTCATATAAAAATGGCAAATGAAGGTTAATAAAGAAAACAAAAAAGGCAGCAAATCCAAAATAATTTTTTTCATCATTATCTGCTTGGTTTGAGAAATAGTATTAGAGATTAACTATATCAATAAAGTGATAATTGTCACTAAATTCACACATTTTGCAATAATATGTAAAATTTTCATCACATTATTATTCCTACCCACGCTATGGATCACAAATTTTATGCACAGTCTTTATAAAAATGATTCCATATATACAAAAGACTAAAACAAAAATTATCACTTAAAATTTCATTAAAGTAAAGTATAGTGGAACCACAATACCATATTCATCAATCATTTATTCATAAAAATCAGAAGTGAGCCAATTAAATTATTTTTTATTGATAGTTTTGCTAGGAATATTTAAATTTAATACTTGCAACAAGGACATGCATTATATTAGTATTTGTTGATTACCTCTTAGTTTGGACATACATAATATGCTTATTTATGCAATTATGCTAAATTTAAATCAGGTGGATATTTGAAATAATTGGAATCACTTTACCTGACTATATCAAGTACCTTTTGAAATTGGATTTCTTTTTCCTATCTATGCTCATTTTGTTAAGGTGTTGCACTAAATTACTATTATATGAGAATCTTCTCTTCATTCGTTTCATTATTGATTGTAATCATCAAGTAATACAAATTAAATTAATTATTTAGATGAAATGAGAAAATATAAATGTTATTTGCTATAACAATTGATTAATATAATGCTCCTATAATATTAAATAGATAATTGCAAAAAAAGAGTTAATAGATCTTATGTTTATTGAAAATTATTGCGATATCCTTAATTAATATACAACAATTTTATTTTTTTATGATACACTTTTAATAATTGATATTGACAATAATAAAATTATTACATTTTTGGAAGTATGGGATCATAGTGTAATAATTGTAATTGCGAAAGGAGAAATATGTAGATATTGAGAAAGCAGTAACTAAAGATCTCTCATTATATACTTTTAGGAATATGTAGTCGCTGTTGCTACATCTTCTTAAAAATCAACATCAAAGACAATTTAAAAAAATAGAATGGCAACTATCATTTAGAAATATTGGAGGGGTTATTTTGTTAGGAAAAGACTGATTTACTAAAAAATAATAGAATCAATTCCTAAAAAAAGTATTAACACCCATGAAATTGTTCTACAGGAATAATTTGAATCTGGAATATCAATTAACCAAGATGAATTCTAGAGAGAAAGGCGATAACCTTATTAGTACATATATAAAATTATAAGATTCAAAGGAGGGGCAGTTTATACAGGAGAATGGAAAGGATAAGCAAGAGATGGAATAGGTATATAAGTATGGCCAGATGGAGCAAAATACGAAGGAGAATGGAAACATAATAAAGCTTAAGGAAAAGGAAAATTTACACATTCAAATGGCGATACTTATGATGGGGATTGGGAGAATGATATGGCAAATGGTTATGGAACCTATTAGCATATGGATGGAGCAAAATATGAAGGATAATGGTTCAATGATAAATAACATGGATACGGTTTCGAAGTTTGGCCGGATGGGTCATCTTATCAAGGATTCTTTTAAAACAGTTTTAAGCATGGAAAAGGTAAATTATAGTCTTAAATAAGGCAAATACATATGGCCAACAGGATAATATTATGAAGGAGACTGGGTTTATAACAAATTATGTGGTTATGGTGTTCTAGTTTGGCCGGATGGTAGAAAATATGAAGGGGAGTTCTAAAATAAAAATATGCATGGTAAAGGAACCTATACTTGGCCAGATGGGAGAAAATATTACGGTTAATACTTTAATGATTAAAAGCATGTAAATTTACCAATTAATCAAGGGTTATGGAATTTATGAATGGAATGATGGTAGGAGATATGAAGGAGAATGGGAGTATGGAAAATAGCACGGAAGAGGACTCTACATTGTTGGAGAACTTGAAAGGACAGGAGAATGGCTAAATGGAAAACGCATTAGATGGGATGATGAGAAGAAAACACATTATAAAAAATGAATTTTATTTACTTAATTTGTTATGTTTCAACCATTTTATTAAATTACTTATATTTTTTTGTATGAAATTTATTTTCTATTCTTTAATTATGGAAAGATTTTTTGAATAAATTAATTTCAATTCTAATATTTACCTTAATTGAAGACTTTACATTTATAAAATATAATTTAACAGCATCAGCACTATAAACCATATATAAATCTAAAAAAATATATAGAAACTTTATTTGAAAATTTAAATCTAATAGTTGATTTAAAAAAATCAAAGCGATTTCTCCTTTTTTTTATTATTTGTATTTATTTGAAATTTCCAATATAGAAAGCATTTCTACCGTATTTTGACAAAAAATATATTCATAATAGTCCTATATATATTTATTTATTTTACTAGGTAAATCTACGCTATTAGCGATTTCCTTTATCTCTTATCTAATTAAAAATATCTCTCATTTGAAAATCTGATAGTGTGTCTGTATCTTCTGGAATAAATTAAATCTATTTTTGAATTCTTTGCTGAAGTATAAAATAATATTAAAGATAAGTTAAAATACATCATCACTCTCTCTTTTTTACAAAATTATTTTTCCGCATTCAATGAAGATTTTTCATAAAGATTAATTGTTTTTAGAGTTTATATATCTTCCTAAATTCAAGAGTAAAGTTATATTAATGTCTTAATCAATTTAATATTAACATGAAAATTAAATCTCTAAAGGTAAAACTCACTTAAGCTTTTGAATTGTCTATTATTTCCCTTTTGCTCCTAATTTGTGTTTTATATCTTGATTTTGCACCTTTTTAATTATCATTAGGATATTATGTTCTTCTAGAATCTTCAACTTTTTTTATTTTATTTTTTTGAGAATTATCTTGATGTTAATTTTTATATGTTTTGAATTATAATTAACAATCTTTTTTTTAATATTTATTTTTTATTCTCTTCTTATTCAATTCCTAATTTATTCTTATCTTACTTTTACTCTTTAGCTAAATCATTTTAAAGGTTTTTATTAATTATTCTTCACAATGATTTTTAGTTTACCTAAATTTTCTAATATAAGATATTACTTTATTTTTCAATAATTTCTTGAGTAGTTGGAAGTTTATATCCTGATTTTATAATTGTTTTAATTATTTAACAACAATATGAATTCCCCAAATGACTTTCTCTAAGGTTTGTTTATTGAATTAACTCTCAATTTTAGCAGAAGCTCTTCATATTAATACATTTTTTTTTGACTAAAAATGTATTATTAATAAAAGCTGCGGATAACCCAAACTTTAAGATGGGTATTCTTGATGATTTTCTTGTTTAAAGCCTCTTGAAAAATAGATTTAACTAGTTTTACATTGTTATAAAAAATTTCCTGAAGTCTTATTATTCTAAGGTGAATATTCTAATTATTCTATTTTTTCTTCTAGTTGACCTAATTAACCTAGCGCATTTTCTAAATCTTAATAAGTATAGTATTAAATTTCTCTTTATATTTAATTTTCAGTATTTTAGACGATCTATTTTTATTGAAATAAGTGTTAAATTAATTGAAATTATTCCTTATGAAGGAATAAGGCCGTATATAATATTTGTATTCTATTACGTTTATTCTCGCAAAAGAATAAAATAAATAAAACTTATTAAAGAAACTTATTTCTTGTTTCCATTAAGCTTATTTCTCAAATTTTCATTCAACTCATATTTTTCAATCTAAAATTTTTGGATATTTCTCAATCAAATATATAATAATTCAATAATCTAGATGAAATTTTAGAACTTTTTTAATATTGCTTTAAATGAAGTAAAAAAACATATAAGATTTGAAAAAATATTTTTAATGTTGAAAACAGTTTAATATTATATTCAAAAATATATGTATCAAGTGCCAGAAAAATTACGATAATACAAAAATTGGATAAAAAGTTTTCATAAAATTAATTTTTTTGATTATATTTAAATATATTTATATCAAGTTGGATATTAAATATTTTTATAAAGCAAGATTATAAATATAAATTAACTTATTATTTAAAATCTGAATGAAAAATTATTTAACAATGTACTTAATAAACAATAATTAGAGATAATATTATAATCAATCATGAATTATTTTAAAATGTTTCACTATTTCAACAACATTTCTCTTGTATTTTATATCACACTATAAATATTTTTTAATGTTGCAAGTATTTCTTTAGATTTTGAATTTCTTTAATTGAAATTAAATATTTCATAAATAAAACTTAGATGTCAAATACTGCTAATAAGAACGCCCCTGCTCCTAAATTGAAGAAAGAAAGTTAAAATTAATCAACAATAAAACTCGCAGCTGCCACTCTAAAGAAACAACCGTATTATATTATATGATTTAAGAGCATCATAAATCTAAAAAGCAAGCGAGCCACCTCAAAAGAAAACTGCAAACACTGACTCATTGCTTGAAAAAACTTCAGATTTAGCATAAGCTGCAAAATCAACTAAAGTTGTTCGAACTACAACAAAATCAATAACTACAAAAATAGATGATGGAAAACTAAAACAACAATCTGAATAAACATTTAAATAAGATTTTACTTTGAATAAGAATTCAAAAAAATAAACTTTAAAACCTGGAAAATAGTAAGAAAAACAAAAAGTGGAACAATAAAAAGATTAAAGACGCCCAGAAGGAGTAAAATATCAAGATGACACAAATTCTTAGGCATCAAATCAATTTGATTAAACATAAGATATTAATAACTCGATATTAGATTAAGAATCAATTTTAGAGAATTTTAACTAAGAAACAACGGAAGTCAATAATAAGGATAGTATATTAAATGAAAAATAAGTTGAATAAAGAAATTAAATAATTTTATCACAAACAGAAAATATAAATGAATCAATAAATCTTGATTGTGAAGAAGATAATATGTTGTCTGTTAAAATAGATGATGCAAACGATGATGAAAGTAAATCACCATACAAAGAAGTAAATTTAATTGAGTATGATGATAATGATTCGAAAAATATAGAAAAAGATTTAATTATCTCGTAGAAATAGATTTGTATATAGGAAGTACAATCTTCTAACTAAGATAAATAATCAAAAAAAAGTCTATAAGATAATATAAATTAATTTGAGAATATTTAAGCTTAATAGAATTAATAAAATTAATTGTCAATAAAGGAGAAAAATAATGTAATGATGTAAGATATTGAAATAAACTCAAATTAATAACAAGAGAGTTTGGAAAAAAATTTGAATGAAGAATAGAAAATGGTAGAAAATATAGATGTATAAATAAGCATAATGTAATAATAATAGATCTATAAATAATAAGATAATAATGAATAAGATGGAGAAAATAAAATCGAAAATGAAACCAATCATTAAGATTAATTATAAATTTAAGAAGATTAAGAATAAAATAACTAACAATCTTAATAATAAGAAAATGTTCTTCAAGAAAATAATTAATAAGATGGAGAAAATAAAATCGAAAATGAAAAAGATCAATTATAAATTTAAGAAGATTAAGAATAAAATAACTTACAATCTTAATAATAAGAAAATGTTCTTCAAGAAAATAATTAATAAGATGGAGAAAATAAAATCGAAAATGAAAAAGATCAATTATAAATTTAAGAAGATTAAGAATAAAATAACTTACAATCTTAATAATAAGAAAATGTTCTTCAAGAAAATAATTAATAAGATGGAGAAAATAAAATCGAAAATGAAAAAGATCAATTATAAATTTAAGAAGATTAAGAATAAAATAACTTACAATCTTAATAATAAGAAAATGTTCTTCAAGAAAATAATTAATAAGATGGAGAAAATAAAATCGAAAATGAAAAAGATCAATTATAAATTTAAGAAGATTAAGAATAAAATAACTTACAATCTTAATAATAAGAAAATGTTCTTCAAGAAAATAATTAATAAGATGGAGAAAATAAAATCGAAAATGAAAAAGATCAATTATAAATTTAAGAAGATTAAGAATAAAATAACTTACAATCTTAATAATAAGAAAATGTTCTTCAAGAAAATAATTAATAAGATGGAGAAAATAAAATCGAAAATGAAAAAGATCAATTATAAATTTAAGAAGATTAAGAATAAAATAACTTACAATCTTAATAATAAGAAAATGTTCTTCAAGAAAATAATTAATAAGATGGAGAAAATAAAATCGAAAATGAAAAAGATCAATTATAAATTTAAGAAGATTAAGAATAAAATAACTTACAATCTTAATAATAAGAAAATGTTCTTCAAGAAAATAATTAATAAGATGGAGAAAATAAAATCGAAAATGAAAAAGATCAATTATAAATTTAAGAAGATTAAGAATAAAATAACTTACAATCTTAATAATAAGAAAATGTTCTTCAAGAAAATAATTAATAAGATGGAGAAAATAAAATCGAAAATGAAAAAGATCAATTATAAATTTAAGAAGATTAAGAATAAAATAACTTACAATCTTAATAATAAGAAAATGTTCTTCAAGAAAATAATTAATAAGATGGAGAAAATAAAATCGAAAATGAAAAAGATCAATTATAAATTTAAGAAGATTAAGAATAAAATAACTTACAATCTTAATAATAAGAAAATGTTCTTCAAGAAAATAATTAATAAGATGGAGAAAATAAAATCGAAAATGAAAAAGATCAATTATAAATTTAAGAAGATTAAGAATAAAATAACTTACAATCTTAATAATAAGAAAATGTTCTTCAAGAAAATAATTAATAAGATGGAGAAAATAAAATCGAAAATGAAAAAGATCAATTATAAATTTAAGAAGATTAAGAATAAAATAACTTACAATCTTAATAATAAGAAAATGTTCTTCAAGAAAATAATTAATAAGATGGAGAAAATAAAATCGAAAATGAAAAAGATCAATTATAAATTTAAGAAGATTAAGAATAAAATAACTTACAATCTTAATAATAAGAAAATGTTCTTCAAGAAAATAATTAATAAGATGGAGAAAATAAAATCGAAAATGAAAAAGATCAATTATAAATTTAAGAAGATTAAGAATAAAATAACTTACAATCTTAATAATAAGAAAATGTTCTTCAAGAAAATAATTAATAAGATGGAGAAAATAAAATCGAAAATGAAAAAGATCAATTATAAATTTAAGAAGATTAAGAATAAAATAACTTACAATCTTAATAATAAGAAAATGTTCTTCAAGAAAATAATTAATAAGATGGAGAAAATAAAATCGAAAATGAAAAAGATCAATTATAAATTTAAGAAAATAAACCATAAAATATTTAACAATATTTATAATAGACAGCTAATGTTTAACAATTTGGAAATTAATAAGATAATGTTTATATATAAGCTCAATACTAATCTAATTAATAATAAAAGAATTAGATTACATTCACTTTTTATTAATATTAATAGTAAGATAATAATAATTTTTTACATATCTAATAAAACAAATAAGTTATATAAGAAGATGAAATTCAAAATTTGGACATAGGTTCTATCTATTTTAATTAAGTTCAATAATCTACGAAATAAAACACTATTGATAATTTTCATTTATCATATAATACACAAAATCTTGAATCGTAATAAAACAACTAAAATAAAGTCTCAGTATATATTTAAACTTAATCTACAAATAATGATCAAATCAATCCTTCTCAAAATTTAGAACAAAATCATCATATTTTAAATATTTCTTAAGAAGATCCTAGCTTATAAAATACTAAGGAAATCCAATTTAATCATGATTATAAACTAGGTCAAAATAGCAACAGATTTGAAAAATACAATGAAATTGAAGACTAGAATTAAACCCAAGATATGATTGAATAAAGCTAATTTTTATAGGATGATAAAACAGATTTATTATATAAAAACTAAAACTTAGTAAATGATTAGATTACAGATTATAATCTAACATAAGTTGAAGAAAATAATAATGAACAATATTAATAAAAGGATCAGAAAATTTAAATTACTTTACAAGATAAACAAGATGATTATATAGTCGATATTAAATAAGGCAATTAGACACCATCCACTAATGTTCAAGAGAAAAAGTAATAAAAAAAAAAAACATTAATTTGTAAATGTTGTTAATTAATTTGAATTAAATGTTTATATTTATTTACAAATAAAATCAAAAAAATTTTTATTTAACTAATCACACATTTACAATTCTAATTTATTCTAACAAAATTTGTATATTTATGAGAAATAAATAAGAACTATAAATAAGAATTAAAATTGATTTAAATATTTTATAGGATATGATAATATTATAAGAAACGAGAAATTATCTATAGAAGATAGGCTTCGATTATGATATCATAATAAAAGGAATTTCCTAAAGCTTGAACAATTTATAAAACATAAGAAACCTTGAATAAATAAATATTTTATTTAAAAGTAGATAAAATATTGCAAAAGGTTAAAAAATGAAAAAACTAAAATATCGTATATATAATATTGATTTAAAAAGAGATATAAGAATAAGAAGTCATTCCAGAAAAATGAAATTAGATTATCAAAATAATAGAAAACTTAATAAGAATATTAATATTGAATTGAAAAAAGAGATGAATGAAAATAAATTCAGTTAACTATAAAGTCTATTTTTTATCTTAATCGAAATTTCCAGGAAATAGGAAGATTAACATTAATTTCTCAACTAAAATAGTAAAATTAAGTAAAAAAGAGAAGATTTGGGAAAGAATGTTTGAAAAGATAAAATTTACACAAAATATTGTTTAATTATTATTATATTAAAACTTAAAATAAATATTATGTTTCAAATTTATATCATATATTGAATTCTATTTATTACTTTCTAATGTGCGATTAACTTACATTTTATGAAATTTTCTAATGTTTCAAAGCATCCAGCTTAATTATAATTTATCCCATGCCATCTATAGTATATTTGCTTAAAGATATCTTTTTCATTATATTCAAAATGCTAAGGACATAAGAAATTTGTTGAAATATATGGATCAAGGCAGTCTGGTTATGTTTATATTTTAATTTCAAACCCCCAGAAAAATGCACAAAACAAATGCATTTACTTATCACATTCCTTACATGACAACTAAACTCCAATTTTTTCCTCACAAATCATACAAGGACTCTAGGATTATTTAACTATACCTTTTTTTAGTTTAAACTACGTTTAATTAAATTCTAATAATCCACATAGTAAAGCACAAGTTATATGAACCCAATATTAGTCAATCTCTCTTAGAGGTATTCCTGAATAGTTTTTTTGGCAAATATAACAGACCTATGAATTGTTTTAAGATTTACACTGATCACAATTTTCAAATTAATCAGTTGTGTTATAACAATGTTTATGAAAAGTTGCTAAACAAGTGCCACAGTATGATAAATCATTATTACTATCCAATTAAATTAATTAATAATTAAAACAGACTTTACAACATGTTTCTCTTGCTAACTCATCCTTTTAGCCCTATTTTAATTAAGAAGGGTTGCATTTTCCGAAGAAATTATCTGTTCTTAAACTACTTAATAGATCGATTTTTTTTTTAATAATCATTTAATGTTCATCATCTGTTATTTATTTCATTCCCAACCTGGTGTTTTTCAATAATTAATAATAACGCAATTTGTCTAATTAAACATGTCCTTACTTGCTAATAGATACTTTTGCCTGCTCCTTTATAGACTACTAATTCAAATAATTAATATCTATTTAATTCTAAGCTTTCAATTTTTCGAGTTCATTTTCATAATATTTCTCAAAATAATAATCCACATATACTTAACTATCTTTTTAATTTGAGAATTAATCAAAAACAGAATTTTCTGGTTACCTTTATAACTCTATAACAGTTAAATTTTCTAATACTAGTTTTTAAGAGGATCTGTCATAAATATCCTCATCATTTTCTGATGTATAAAATTTGTTTTTAAAAATTTTGAAGTTATAATTGTATTCTTAATCCTCTTAAAATTTTGGATCATATAATTCATCATCTTGTAGACTATATTCAGCATATATTATGTTACCGTTTCTAATTTCATAAAGCACTTTCAGGTATTCTTGAAATTGTTTATCAGTATCTTTTATTTTTTTGAATTTTTCTATTGTTGAGTAGATATCTGATTTTGGATTAAAATATGTTTCTTCAACCTTATTCCACCATCCTTCTAGGTTTTCTTCCCAGGCTTCATCAGGTTGTGGATAATAAATGATTTCATGTTAGGCTTAAAGTGCCCTTGTTGTTTCATTTTTTCTACGATTCTTTGTTCTATTTTGTTTTTATTAATTTTTTAATAAAAAATTTAAGAGTTCTGTGGCGGACATGCTTGAATAATCATCAATTTTAGTTTATTTAGATTTTTGTTGGTCATTTTCAATCATATCAGCATTAGGTATTTATTTTTATTTTATAGGCTCTTTTTAGAGTTATAAATTTTTTTTAACTTCCAAATCGTTATCATTATTAGGATTATTATTATTATGATTAGAATTAATACAATCATTCATAATATTATTTTGATTAATAACAACAATATCATTTTTTATATTATGATTAGTATTAGTAGTTTTGACACTTTTAAAATCATTAGAAACACTTTTATGATTATTATTATTATTATAATTTATTTGATTAGTATTATTATTTGATTATATAGAAAGTACTTATTGATTATTTTCATTTTATATTTCTACTCTTTTATCAAATAAATCCATTTTTTTTTTTAGCATTTATTACATTTCTTTTAATTCTCTCATTTCATCCTTTTCTTATTATTCTTTATTATTCTTTTATTTTTCGACTACTTCTCTATATTAATTTCTTTATTCAACATAATTTGGAATAATTGGAATACTATTTTTTTTTTCTCTCACAAAGCTCAAAAGCTAATCAAGAGAGACATCACCATTTTCTTGAGTTTATTAATAAGTTTTTTGTTCTTCCTTATCAATTTCGATTTATTCTGTTTTAATCTTTGAAAAAGTGTTATTAACTTTAACATTTTGTTCCTATACTTTTTAAACTGGCTTAACTTTTTTCTTTGGTTTTTCTATTTTATTAATTTCAATTCCATCTTCTGTTATGATAATTTCTTCCAAAATTGATTTTTTAATTGGCTATTATTATTGTTCTTCTTCATCTATAGCAACTAACATCTCTTCCTTTCTTTTGGCTTAATAATCTATTTAAAACATCGGTCTTGGACCAAATTCATATTAGGATTTAAAATCTTTGCTTATATCCCAAAATTTCTATCTCTTCTTTTCTTATTCAACCTTTGTTTCTTTTTTTTAAACTTTCAATTTTTTAGTTAAGTCTTCATCCAATCTTTTAAAGGAATTTTAATCTAATTTTTCTCCAATTGTCTATAATGGATCATCAACAGAGACTATTAAATATTTGCTTTCTCCTCTATAAGGCTCTTCTTATTTAATATGGATATTTTCTAATACTAAGTTATAGGCTATAGATTCCCATTGATTCCAATCAGCTTATTGTTCATTTTTATCAAAATGTTAATTACAATAAAAATTAATCCTAGCTTTAGTGCATGTAATTCTTTTTTTAACTTAAATTATGCAATCTATATGATAAAGCATTTTGCATTTATAATGAGAACAATTAATTGAAGCTTTCTTTTGAGCAGCTTACACATTATTTAAACCTTAATCACAAATAGAACAATCTATAAGTTATTTGCTTTTGTGNATTTTTATTTTATAGGCTCTTTTTAGAGTTATAAATTTTTTTTAACTTCCAAATCGTTATCATTATTAGGATTATTATTATTATGATTAGAATTAATACAATCATTCATAATATTATTTTGATTAATAACAACAATATCATTTTTTATATTATGATTAGTATTAGTAGTTTTGACACTTTTAAAATCATTAGAAACACTTTTATGATTATTATTATTATTATAATTTATTTGATTAGTATTATTATTTGATTATATAGAAAGTACTTATTGATTATTTTCATTTTATATTTCTACTCTTTTATCAAATAAATCCATTTTTTTTTTTAGCATTTATTACATTTCTTTTAATTCTCTCATTTCATCCTTTTCTTATTATTCTTTATTATTCTTTTATTTTTCGACTACTTCTCTATATTAATTTCTTTATTCAACATAATTTGGAATAATTGGAATACTATTTTTTTTTTCTCTCACAAAGCTCAAAAGCTAATCAAGAGAGACATCACCATTTTCTTGAGTTTATTAATAAGTTTTTTGTTCTTCCTTATCAATTTCGATTTATTCTGTTTTAATCTTTGAAAAAGTGTTATTAACTTTAACATTTTGTTCCTATACTTTTTAAACTGGCTTAACTTTTTTCTTTGGTTTTTCTATTTTATTAATTTCAATTCCATCTTCTGTTATGATAATTTCTTCCAAAATTGATTTTTTAATTGGCTATTATTATTGTTCTTCTTCATCTATAGCAACTAACATCTCTTCCTTTCTTTTGGCTTAATAATCTATTTAAAACATCGGTCTTGGACCAAATTCATATTAGGATTTAAAATCTTTGCTTATATCCCAAAATTTCTATCTCTTCTTTTCTTATTCAACCTTTGTTTCTTTTTTTTAAACTTTCAATTTTTTAGTTAAGTCTTCATCCAATCTTTTAAAGGAATTTTAATCTAATTTTTCTCCAATTGTCTATAATGGATCATCAACAGAGACTATTAAATATTTGCTTTCTCCTCTATAAGGCTCTTCTTATTTAATATGGATATTTTCTAATACTAAGTTATAGGCTATAGATTCCCATTGATTCCAATCAGCTTATTGTTCATTTTTATCAAAATGTTAATTACAATAAAAATTAATCCTAGCTTTAGTGCATGTAATTCTTTTTTTAACTTAAATTATGCAATCTATATGATAAAGCATTTTGCATTTATAATGAGAACAATTAATTGAAGCTTTCTTTTGAGCAGCTTACACATTATTTAAACCTTAATCACAAATAGAACAATCTATAAGTTATTTGCTTTTGTGTATATAATCCAATCCAAAAAATATATAGTCTATAACACATTTATCTCTCGCTAAATAATATTTCTCCTAAATTATTTGAACATTCTATAGAAAAAATACTATGCATCCTAAATGACAATATTCTTTATAGTTTTTCTTTAGAAATTATCTTTTCTCTTCGACTCTCTTTAATTCAAGGTAAGTCTTTCTATATCTATCCAATAAAATTGTATATAATTTCTCCTCCTTTTTTCTTCCACAAATCGAACACAAAACCATAATTAAATATTGGGTATCAAATTCTAAAAGGATTTTTTCCTATTCGATTTTAAATATACGGCAAATATTATCTAATTATAATATAAACCTCATAAACACCAAACTTTGAATACCTCAAGTAATCTAAATGGGTCTTATTTTTTACATATAATTTTGAATATATTTTTATTCAAATTATAACTATTTAATTTTTAGATAGGTAGAATGAAAAAAATGATTGAATTCTCTTATCGAAACAATTCATTAGGTTTGCTTTATTATTATCATATTTGGTTTTGAAATTTTTAAATATTTCACTAATTATCATTTTAATAACTAAAAAATTGTTATGATTTTATAGATATCAAAAGTATTTGTTGGACTTAAAAATAAATAAATTTAGATATTTATACATAATAATTTTGGATAAATAGTTTTAATATAATAACTATGAGATAGAATTTTATTATTATATAGTTCTTTGAAGGGAGAAACTAAATATTGATAACTAGTTTCCTTCATTATATAAGATAAATAATTAGGTTAATTCTCTAATAAATAAAATGTTAAATTACTTGAAAATATAAAGGTAATTTTAAATTAAACAATAAATTATATATAAATTCACCTATTTAATTTAATTTGAAATTCTTAATAACATTTTTAAATATATATAATTGATTGAATATTAAAATGAAGTATAAAAGGTATCGATCAAAATTATTATAGATATCCCACAAAATAAAAGTAATGATATTTTCCTTAAAAGTGAAAAAGTGGGATGTTCTTGAATAGATTAAAGTAAGTTTCATATTAAAATTTCACATTTTGTTATAAATTTCAGAAACATTTTCTGTTAACGATTGAAGGACCGAATTCATCATATTCTTATCTTGTAATCCAGAGGGGTTAGAATGTAGATAATGTCGATTAGATAGACCCTCCAATCCAAACTGAAAATCTCCTTTCAGGGGGAGCAATCACTTAAATCTTTATTGATGATGGTAACAAATTAGTTATTTCTTTATTCAACCTCTCTTATATTCCTGGAAAAAGAGTGGTACCTCCAGATATTACAATATTATTGTATAGGTCCTTTCTAATATCAAGGTCACATTTCCTAATAGAAGAATATGATAAATAATGTATTCCTGAAATTTCTAATCCTATTATTTAAGGTGAAAATAAGATTTCAGGACATCTAAATCTCTAGTTTTAAATTATCAAAATATTCCCATCAGGCAATTTATATGGTCTATTTTAAGCATTGCTTTCTTTATATATTTTCTCTTCTTCTATTGGATCTAATGCTGTGTAACAAAGTTTCTCTTTAATATCTTAAACGATTTCTCTTTTATTTGATTCAGTAAATGATTAGCCTAATTCATTTAGAATTTGTGATAAATAATCTGTGCATGCTCTACCTGCCAAATCTATTTTAGTAATAGCTTGAGGCATTTAATAACCTTCAAAAACTGGTACACAATGAGTTACTCCATCTCCTGAATCAACTACTAATCCTATAGTTCTGCCAGATGCATATAGTGATAAAACAGCTTGATTGGAAACATAAAAGGATGGAACATTAAAAGTTTCAAACATTATCAATATCATTCTTTCTCTATTAAATTTAGGATTCATTGGAGCTTCAGTCAGAAAAATAGCTTAATCCTCAGGAGATACACGTAATTAATTGTAAAATGCATGATGCCAAATTCTTTCCATATCATCCCAACAATATACTATTCCATTTTAAATAGGTTATTTTATATTTAAAATTCCTCTTTTGACTTGTGCTTCATCTCCAATATAAGCATCTCTTTTTTGTGTAGAACCAATGACATCTTTTTATTTTAATCTTCCTACAATAGTTGGAAAACAACTTCTTGGTGCATCTTCACCTGCTCTACCTATTTTACAATAACCAGAACCATTATCTATTACAACTGCTGGATATAATATTGACATGAGATTTTAGACTTATTAAATTGAATATAAAATTATTTAGGTTGATATTTTAATTGAAAATATAAAAAATACATTTTATTGCTTCAGATTAGTTTATAAATTTATGGTTATTATTACATTTATTTTTAATAATCGCCATTAAAAATATATTATTAGCATAATAAATAAGAAATGTAATATTCTAATTCATTATCTTTTAAAGACAGTAATCAAATTATAACAAAAAAATATTTCCCAATAAATTTACAGATGTTCTCATAAATTAATTTATAATGATATGAGATAATTAAAATGGTATTATTATAACAGAACTGAAACACTTAAAAATATAAAATACATATAGTTAATTAGGATAATAGTAGAATCAATGAATTATAAATCAGAATTTCTAGAATTAAATAAAAAGTATTAAATTTCATAATTAAATTATATGTCGAAGAGTCTATTGATTATTTTTGTCTTACTAATCTCATTAAAGAGCATAGCAGCAGAAGAAATTGATCTTAGCTTAATTCGAGTCCCTAATTGTACTTCTAAATAATATCTTTAGATATTACACAAGAAGATGACATTTAATTATATAAAATAAGAAAGCAGCAGTTAGAGTTCTAAAAATCAAAATATATGAAAATGAGTAAGGAAGAGAGGAAGAAAGTAGAATAATAAAGTTTAGCATTTCAGAAATGGGAGAATGATTTAAAAAGGAAATATTAATATAAAAAAAGATAAGACGATTTATGAATAATATTATTTGAATGTATATTAATTTGGAAATAATACATTTTGCAATATATACTTAATTAGAATCAATTAATTTTTGTTTACATTTTAAAGTTTTTAAATAAATTTCAATTTCAATTTGTCAATTCAATGTATTTAGCAAAACTTTTTGGTTATCTTCTTTTAACATATCATTTTTAATAGTTATAACAAAGATAAGATATATGAAATTTAATTAAACTTCTTTGTTAATTTATTTATATTCATAGTTCAATATCGATAACTTTCTTAAAGTATATCTTTACTATAAATTTGAATCTTGTAATTTACCATCCTAAAGAACCAGATTTACAATAGTATAAAAAACTGTCTTACTTAATTTCCTTTTCCATTTTGGTTTCTTTAATGGTTTAAATATCAATTCAATTAGATTTTGCTTATAATTCTTAGATTTTTATGCTAATTACTATTTTAGCTTAATAGTATACTTATTTTTTTAGAATATCAGATAAAAATAATAAAATCATCGAGTAATTCACCAATAAGAATATTATAATTAATATGATTATGATAATAATAAAATAAATAAAGTTAGTATTTTATGTAAGTAATAATTCTTTCCTAATGATACATCTATACATCTTAATATTGATTTAAATTATTTATGATTTTAGAATAGAAATAATATCATCCAATTAAGATAGCATTAGTTCTAATTTAATTTTCATAATTTTACATTTTGATATAAAATGAATTTAAAATAATAAGATTTTTTTAGACCAATAGATGAATAGAAATTGATTACATAATGCGTAGGAATTTAAGGGTTCATAAACCATATTGTTTTAATTTTAAATTCCATCTAACTTAAATTGTTTAATCAAATTTTACAAATAAAATTATGATAGAATCTCATCCTCCTGTTGTAATTGAAAATTCTTCATGTAATATAAGAGCTGGAATTGTAGGAGAAGCATCCCCTAGATGCTGTTTTCCAACTCGAATCATAAAAGTGCAAGATTCTAAAGCAATTAAATTTTTAATTGGCAGTCAGATTGAAGAAAACTAAAACAATAATCAACCTTGTTATCCAATTTAAAATGGTTATATAATAGATTGGGAAGCTATGGAATAGATTTGGAGATACATTTTTGAGGTCCAATTAAAAATTTCACCTTCTAATCATCCTATATTATTGACAGAAGCACCTAGAAATTCAAAAATGAATTAAGAAAGGATGACAGAGATAATGTTTGAAAATTTTGACGTTCCTTTTCTTCATATTTCAAATCAGAATGTGCTTTCATTATATTCATTAGGCAAAACTACAGGTGTGATTTTAGATTCAGGTGAAGGCACCACATATTGTGTACCAATATATGAAGGATTCTAATTAAGACACTAGCTTTCAAGATTGGATATTGCTGGTAGTAACTGCACTAATTATATGACATAATTGTTAAAAGAAGAATTTCTCAAAATGTATACTCCATTTTAGAGAAATTAAATAGCAAAAGCTATTAAAGAATCATTATGTTATGTAGCATTAGATCCAATAGCAGAAGAGAATAAATATTTAGGAAATACTTCACATAATAGTTCATATATTTTACCTGATGGAAATAAAATTTAAATAAAAGAACAAAAATATTAATGTCCAGAAATTTTATTCAATCCTAATAAGGCTGGATATGAATTACCAGGCATTCATGAAATAACATATTAATCTATATCTAAATCTGACAGAGATATTCAACAATAACTCTATAATAATATTGTTATTACTGGAGGAACAACTCTATTCCCTGGACTTTAAGAAAGATTACTTAAGGAAATTGAAAATTTGGTTTAGACACCATCTTAAACAAGGGTAATTGTACCTCCAAATAGATTAAATTCAACTTGGATTGGAGGATCTATTTTATCTACATTAACGAATTTTAAACCATTTTGGATTACAAAACATGAATATGAAGAATTCGGACCTAAAATTGCTCACATTAAATGTTTTTGACTTGTAAAAATTAATAATGATCTAACATTTGTAGAACTTATTATTTATTAAACACTATATTACCAAATTAATAATTATAATTCTAATTGTTATATAAAATTTCAAAAGCATTTTATTTATACTATATTTGGTCCATATTCATCATAATCATTTCTAGATATCCATAAATTTGAATTTTAAGCTAAATTTGCTATAATACAACCACCAATCCAAGCAGAAAATTTTTAACTTTTAGTTATATTCAATTATTCAAAATATCTTTAATCGCTAATTTTGTTAAATTCAAATATAAATCGTTCTGAAAATCCACGAATAAAAGAATTGCCTCCAGATATCATTGTATTTCTTAATAATGGTATTTTCAGATCTGATTCAATTTACTCAATACTATTTAAAGCTAACTAATGATATCCAAGACTAGTATTAAAATATATATTTGGATTGTATATAATTTAAGGTGATTATAAGATTTATATTCCAAATTATAAATGAGAACCATCAGGTAATTCATAAACAATTGGTTTAAACGGATCTTATAATTGATTCTGTAATTCTTATTATGTTTCTTATGTAAGATAGCAATACTATTCTTTGATGTAATCTAAAATTTCTAGATTTTCAATTCTTTTCTAATTTGACTGTGTAAATAAATGATTTAAGTAAATTGAACATGATTTACCAGCAATATTACAAAAATTATCATTAATATTTAATTTATATCCTTAATAGATAGGTACAAAATAAGTTGTATCATTACCTGAGTCAACAATAAATCCTGTTGTTTTTCCACTGGAAATTAATGATAGAATTGATTATATTTATATATTGAATTAAGATATATTGAAAGTTTCGAACATAATTTAAGTAATTTTTTCTTTTTCTTTTCTTTATGTACTTAAATATGATGTAATTAGAATTGAAGATTCATCAGGAATAGTATTTAAATAATTATAAAAAGCATTATGCCATACAGATTCCATTGTATCAAAATCTACAATCTTACTATTTTATATAGGATATTTAATTAAGTAATCTTCTTCTGAAATTTGATTTCTCGAATCTAATAAAATTGAAGCTTACATTTTTATCTAAGTACTGGACTTGGAAAAGAGTATTTAGGAATATTATCTGATGAATAGCCAACTCTGCAAAAAGCTGATCCATTATCAATTATAATAGAATGTGAATAGATATTATTCATGTTATAATAAAAAATAGAATGAGCAAATAGGTTTTGAATAACTAATAATTAATTTATTTATATGATTCATATTCCATCATCAATAACATCCTCTTCTTAGAAATCATCATCATTTTATTCTTATTATTTTCCATAAGGTTATTTCTTATTTTATTATTATTACTATTATTATTATTGACTACCTACTTTTTATTTCATATAATTCATAACTTTTTATATCTAGAATAAATAAAAATTATACTAATTCTTAATCCAGATAAGGATTTAGTACAATAGATTTCTTCTACATCTTCTACATTTCTTCATATGCCTTTTCATATTGATTTTAAGAATAATAATATTCTATTAATTCAGCAAATATATCTCCCTATCTTACTGCATATTCTATATTACTCTAATACTTTATTAAAAATATATACATCATTTAATAATTTATAATAGAGTTATAACATCTCTTATGGTGACTTCTACTTTGCTTAAACAAAATCAGAGATCAATTTCAATTTCTATTATAATTATTATGTTTTCTATTAGTTAGTAGATTTATCTGAATATTTAATGGCTTCTTTTAAAGCAGCACAAGCCTTTTCATAATCTCTATATTCATCAATTTCAACTGATGAACAGGCTTCAAAGAAATTAGCTAAATGATCAAATGCTTTGGCTTTATTGTAGAATTGTATAATATGTTTCATAAGTTCAGGTGTTTTATGCCAATCACCAGTTTGAAGATAATTACCAGCAAGAATATAAATTTCAGCCATTCTAGCATTATTTGCAAATGCAATAATTTTTTCAACATCCCCCAATTTACAAAGTGCTTTCATAGCTTTTACTCTTTCCCCCATCTATATATACATTTTTGAAGCTTATTCAAAATTGCCCATCTTTTTTGATTTCTCAGCAATAAGCAATTAAACTTCCTTTTTTCTTTTATCATCTAAACCATCTAATAATTATTTAACAAGATCATCAGTTATTTATAAACCCTAATTATCACACATTTCTAAAACTTTCTCAAATTATTTTTTATTTATTAAATCTTATAAAGATCCTGGAAGTGGT